ACATGTGCCGCTTCTTATACGTATAAGTTCTAACGGAGTATACAGAGATAACCTATACCATAAAGTTACAAGTACAGTAAGTTTAGTTGTGGAAAAAATCGGCCAAGTGCGAGTTGGACTCGCGCACTAAGCGCACTATCTATAAAAACAGCAAAAATAATCATGTCTGTTGTATCCCATACCCCACTCAAATATTTTTTATTCTGCTTTTTTTGTATTTTTTATTATAGCGGTAGCAGAAATACATCATTTGATAAAATTTAAACTGTCTAACTATCACGGCTCGTGGGATTTAGACGTACAGACAGACAGATAATAGAGTCGCGTTTTACCCTAAAAAGCATGTATGTTAATGCCTCCGCCATATTTCAACGAATTCTAATACTAAAATAGGACTTCCGATTAACATAACTATTATATCACTTACTTTTCTTAGTGTACTGCAGGTATACTTATATACGTATATCTTTACCTTGTCGTAAAAATACTTTCACCAATATTACGGTTCGCAGCATGATCATTTCTTCAATAATAAATAAATATGTCATTCATGTTGTCTTTATAAAGTTCTTTTGAAGTGAAAATTCTTTAGACGCGCCATGACATGGGAAAAAAGGATTAGCGTTATGATTTTATAAAGAAACGGTTACGCTGAGTCTTTACATTAATAATATTCCGTCACGCGAAGAGCGTATGACTATGTAAGAATGGATGTTTGTAAAATAATTCAATTCAATTATAAAATTCTTTTGGCTATTTTTACAGCGATTTAATCATATCAAATGAATATTATTAAAAATGTTATTTACCGAAATATCTTTTATTGTGCATTACAAAGAACTCAAATTGAATCCCTGTATTGTTTCATATTTTAGTGTCTCCCTATTTGCAAAAATTTAAAACAGCGTTTTAATTTCATAACAAGTACCAATAACCTACAGAAGTTTCACTTATACGTGTACACATTGATACAAGCTCTTTTTTATTTTTTATTAACTTTATGCGTATCGCCAATAAAGAACTGTTACAAAGATCATTCAAAATAACATTGTCTATGTTTAAAAGCACTATAACTTCTAAGAGAAGAACATAAATAGGCCCCTCAACCGAAGAATATCCCTTTCTTCTATAAGAAAACTAACTAATAGTGACAAGATATTTAAAATCCCAGACATGGAGCATGTTTCGCGCTGGTATTTGTGTATTTGTTGTGCTGATTGTCTGACTTTTTGACATTTGGTTTTTGCCACATTTACTTTAAAGTAAAAGTTTTTTTCTTGTGAGTTTTCGTAATAATCACCACGTAGCAAGCATGAAAAAGTATGTATATGTATATTTACATAAAACACTTATAAGCTAGAGATGATTGGGGTAGTTATACGGCTAGTTGTAGTGGGTTTTATCTATATGAGTATATTAGGGATTGGCGTTTGTGCAACTGAAACATATTTCGTACGAGCTGCTGTCCGTGACTACGTCTGCGGAGAATAAGCTGAAGATGTGACATTAAGACAGAAAAACTGATATACATGAAATATGTATATAAATTATATTCTTAGTATTTGCGTGAAAGAGTAACAAACATCCATCCAAACATATATCCATATACATGGGCAATGTTGCTGGTTGACTTTTTAATTTGTTTAATTTATTCATTATATTGCTTAATATTTAAACGCTAACTGTTAATTTTTAGAAAAATGTATATAAAAAAAAGGAAAAAATGATAATCTTTAAAGTCAGCGTAGATACAAGATTGCAATTTGTTACTTTGTGCCAATGTCATCAGTCATGTAGTTAATATATCATTATTTAATCAATGCAAAATAGCAATAAACTTAGAGCAGTTATCTACTTGAAAAATGTTGTGCCTTAGTAGATCGCCTTAGTGGCGTCTTTAACGTTACAGTGTCTTCCTAAAAGCTTTCGCAATGTTGATCATAACTTAACGGAAACCGAAGTTAACCCATTCCACCCAGCCGGCATTTGGTACCCGTACAAATTCTCCTCTAATTTAAATTTTTAGTAAACGAACATAACCAATACTTCACGATTTTTCAGTCAATGCCGGACTCTCGACTTTCGTAAATATCGCTTCCGAAGTAAATCGTCGTTTACGGTAACAATCGTAAGAAGTTTTCCGTTACCTTCGGCCCTTAATAAAATTGAAGTCACTCCACACGTGAGTGAGAAATATGTTGAGGCGGCGCCACATCCCGGGTAGACTGTATATCCGCCGGATGTAGCACCCCACTCACGTGTGCCGTCGAATGCCAGGGGGCAGAGATTGGGGGGGGGGGGGGGGTTTAGGGACACCCCCGCCCGCTCTGATTTCCAATGGATTCTGTCGTTCGTTTTTTCACTCCTTGTCCCCATTGAAATGTGTTGTGTAGTACGAATGTCGCACCATGTATTTTAATGGCGGCTGTATACGTAAAATTCATGAAACACTTGGAATCGGAAATTGTTTGCCTCAAAGTTTTCGTTATTTCTTATTCAACAATCAGGCAGCGGGGACGGGATTATTTTCTAAATAAATAAAGAATAAATGTCATTTCTTACGGAAACAAAGTAAAAAATAATAAGAAGAAATATTTAAAAAAATAACTGCCTATTTATCTCGGTAGAAGCGGGATAAACTATAAATATATCTATATAATAATAAATACTATATATAATAATATGTATTAAAATTTTTCGCCAACAGTTTATTTTAATTATTTCCTACTTAAACGTCTCATCAAATCGTGTGGCACCAGCTTTTCTTTTCTTCTATGTAAATATTAATAATATACATGTTAATAAGCTTCAGTGCCTTAAATTAAAATTATTTTGATAAACTAACAATGACGCAATACTATTAACGTAAAAACAAAAAAACTTGTTCAAATTTTCTTCAAATAATAAATTATTAAAAAGTACTACATCAATTTACCTAAAATCGTTTAGTACGAAGCCTTAGAAAATAACAGAGTATTTTTTATACAGAAGGACGTCGAAAGTAACGCCATCCTGAGTTGACATATCCGTAGGGCGGTAATCGATTTCTGAGATTCGTGTATTATTATATGGAAAATAGAAAACGACGGTCCTGCATGCTTTTGAATGAACCCTGACAGCGTTGTATAAACGCGGCGTGCTGAAAATAGGACATTGACGTGGGAAAGGACCGACGAAAATGTTTACGCGACGTTCCTTAATATCAATAAGTTTATCCCGAAATAAATATCTGAGTTAAACATCACACGATATATTAAGATCTTCACAAAATATTACTTTTAATCCAAATATAAATTACCAAAAACTCCAACGCATTTGTTCCACTTTGCAGAAAATACGAGTCAAAACTAAAGATGAACAACCGCTTATCAGTACAGAATACACAATAGTGAATTAAGAGCTTGCATTCAAATGCCCACTGTTGGGCAAACGCCCCGAAAGTGTATAAACGATGTTTTTATCATAAACCATAATTTCACTCCATCGTAAAAAACTATTAAGATTAATGAGTTGAATTTTCAACAATGAAGGTGTACTATTTAACTTTTTTGCAAATTGCCGACTTTTTACGTAAAAAGTAGGAAACCGCGCGGAAGGTTGAGCAAAGAGGAATAGCGCTCCAGTAATTAACAGGTACGCTTGGAATGCGAGGGGATTTTATTTCGATACCGTCGTGCCTCCGCGTGCAGCGTCGAATCCAATACGGATTTATCCCGACCCTAGCAGGAAAAGAACCGATAATCTTGAAAAGAAATACAAACATAAAATGAACTATGCTGGAGTTCTAAATAAACCTATTTTAAGAATTTTACCGCAATCAATTCGTTGTTAAATTAAAATAAAACATAACGATACGAACCGCGTCAACATTAACTGTTTTCTTTTAATTCAATTCGATTCATGAAAAAATTGGAATAATAGGCATCGTGAAACACTTGACGGTTGCCCTAATTAATATTAACTTAAGGATGTAAATTACCTTTCCGTCAACAAAGATAGTTTAATTTTTGCGAGACATCGCAAAGATACCAAATTAAAATCGGTAAAATCATTTCAATTTCAATTATATACTACATTTTCAATTATATGCTACATTTGTATATTTATGTTAGCTTGGTACTCACGCTAGTGCATGCATCTCTCTGCAAATGTTATTGCATGGAAACCCTAGGTGTATGGGTACACACCATTCGGTTTCCCATGTGTACTGTAGCAAATATGTGCAAATAGCGAAACGCATAAGCCGAAAGCTATTTCCACCTGCCCAATTAACTGGGCGTCGCGTTCTCATGTTGGCTACAAGATCAGTTTAATGTACGTACACTCGCGCAATTCGTCAGCAGGGCAGGCATAAACGATGTCTCCCAGTTTTCACGACCCCTGCCCAACACTTCCTTTACCACGTCTATAAAATCACAGCATAAACGCATGTCGTCATCACCGCTTTGTTCCAAATATCCGGTGACAAGTTGGTCATAAATGTGTTGTGCATCAATTTGCAGTGAGGCGAGCAGTAGGATTATATAGCGCTATTACGTGGCTAGAAATCTCGACTTTCGTAGCGGTGGAGATCTGATGGCGAGGATTCCTAAAACTCGCACAAAAGTATTTTCCGCTTTTCGATTCCGTAGTTTCTTACGCCCGAAATCGGTTATATCGGTAATACCTTTTAGGACTAAATTAATTGTGTGAGATAGGCAGAATAATATGATATCTGGTTTGCTCTTCAAATTGTTTAACGCTTTTCAAAAGAGAAGCTACAGGTTGACACTTTGAGTCAGCGGGTTTCAAACAATCACGGTCCCAAATGACACTCGCTCGAAACAATACACGAGGATCGTAGAAATCTTTACCCCTTGTGGGGACAGAATCTATAATGCGCCGCGAAATTACGATTAATGAGGTGAGCATTACGTGATCCGTGCTGTCAAGTGCTAGTTTCGTGTTTAGTTCTTTTTCATGTCGTTAAAGTAAATGTAAAGGTGAAAATATTCTGGAGCATGCAACATCGGCTGCCTCAAGGGAAGCTTGACCAATCAAACCAGATAAATAATTTGGGATCCAAGACCATGCGCACCTCAGTTATGATGAGTATAAGTAAGCTATTATGTTTTGGATGCAAACTATGAAGTAGACTTACAATTAATAGCTAGTTAGACGATACTTTGCAAGATCCATCATAAAGCAAGCTATTTCGTTACTACCAAGTTCAATGGTTTAATTTTTAGTCAAGGAACGAGAGGCTTCTGGCTGAATATTTTCTATACCAACTACATTAGTTTAAGTACAAATAGCAAGTTTTTTATCGAGCTTACGATAGTTTAAAGTGGTGCTGATTTGTTATGTTGCAAAGATTTTGTCAAAATTTTTATGTATCATCACTATTACCACGTGAAGGACTGCTTGAAAAGGCTAAAACATTAGAAAAAATACTATATATAAATGAGTCTTCATCCAAAAGAATCTTTTCACATTTTTGTCAGAGCTTTAGAATAATTTCCGTGTTCAACACAACTCGTTCGTCATTTGCAACGTTGCAAAACGAGAATGGCAACGCGGTGCCGAAGGCGAAACGAAAAAAAAAAAAAAGAATTCAATTTGCCGGTGCAAAAAGTCCACGCGGCGCCCGTACTACGTAGTTAAAAGGATGCACACACGGGCGTGTAACTCGAGGTTCTCATCTCGTGCCCACGTCAATAATTGGAGCGGTTGTTCATGTGTTTTTTTTTTGTTTCTGCAGTACTGCTCTCGCCGGGGCCGCATTGTTCCTCGGTGGGGGCGCTCCCCGCGACGGGCACGCCGTCCCCCGCCGCCCCCCGGCTCCACGTAAAACGGTTCGTATTTTTCATTGTTGCTTTAAAGCCTTATAGGTTTTGCTTTATTTATGCCCTTTATACCTTTCCGCGGGAGATAAATGCCCGGAAGGCGGTGTACTGTTTTCGTCGCCGCATAATGGCTCCGCCGGCTGTTAAGTTGACAGCGTTTTTGATGATTCGCGTGCAAGCCTTGTCAGGCCTCATCAGATTTAATGTAACTAATTCAAGGTTTATCTTTTGTTACTTCTCCCCGAAATATCGGAAGCTCTGCGGAACATATAAGCGCTGACGTAATAGGAATTTATTTATTTAATCTTTATGCACAAACATTAATGTACAAAGGCGGACTTAATGCCATCAGCATTATCTTCCAGTCAATCTTGGAATTTATACGTGAACTAATATTAAAGGTTGATCAGTTTTACTTAAATTTCTAATATGTAATCATCCCATATTACCACGAAATAATTGTTTAGAACTATATACGACTGAAATTGTCAGCCCCAATGAAATTGTTAATTTAAGAGCTGACTGATTGTGCTCAGCGGTGAAAGAAAACATCGCGAGGAAACCTGAACATTTTCGAAATAATAGCAAAAAATATGACGAAGATATATGAAGTCCACCAATCCGCCAGTCCTTGAACATTGCTGTAGACATTTCATAGAGATAGTTAAGTGGCTTCAGATCCCAGATTAAATAATGTCAATATTACACTATAATTCAAATGTCTTTTTATTTATTATCTGAGCGGGTGACAAGCTAGCGGTCAATGGACATCCACAACACACGTAGGGTTGGAGATGCGAGTCAACCATTATAAGTATGAACTCGGTTACCTCACTTACATGAAGAAACATTGATGTTGTAGGACAATGTACCTTTTCGTTAAGATTACGATCGTCTTTTTGAAACGTCCAAAAAAAAAACATATCCCATAAAAGCACAACGACTTGAAGTAAAACCTCATTTTGACTTAGTTACTTGAGTTATTCGTATCTAAAAATAGTTGTAGTACAAATGTTAGTCGCAAATCGTTTCTATAAATAATTGTTTGTCAGTTCTTATTGTATACAGTATAATAGTCAAAGGTATAGTATGTTAAAATTAAGTAGTAATCATAAATTTAAATTTACAGAATTCACTGAAAACAGACAACAGACAACAACTGTTTTGAAACAATGTAAAAGGATAATAAAGCTATATTACTGATTTCATATACACGCCAGAGACAAGTGCAATGAAATAAACTTTATTAAACACAAATAAAAATAAAACTTTAATAAATAGGAAAAAAGGGTACATCATTTTATTATTTGATAAGATGAAAATGTATAAATGAGATAAAAGATATATTTTTTTTCATTATTTTATGCATTATGAAACTTTTTTATAACTCAAATATTACCTACTGTAAAAATGATCGTTCGGCAATTTGAAACTCTACGCTTACAAAAGCTCCAATTGTAGCACGCTACAATAATTCGCCCAAATGAACGCGCATCGCTATTTAAATTTATTGCAAATTTAATACGTGTCCTTTGCAAAACCGATGGACCGAAACAGAATTAAACGCCTGGCACGAACGTTGTATAAACGCTCCACATATTAATTTAAACGAGTGTGAAAATTACGACAGTATTACAGAAAGAACGCTAGAAAATTCTTTTCCGATACGTGGTACAGATAACTCAATGCCTTATGGGATGCATTCGATTGGAAACTATCTCCGTGGAGATGCATATACAACTTGATATGGCCTTTGTAATATCCGCGTGGTCCCACTATCCGGGTTCGACTGAACAAACATTGTATAAACACAACTGCACTGAAATGCAAACGTAAGTGGTCTGTTGATTCAAATTTAATTCCGTTTTGCGAACGCTTAATTTTGACATTGGAATTTTTTATTGAAGACCATGGCTGCTGCGTAAATTAATCACCATACACATGTGACGCAGAGGATAATAAAAGGTTATTTTTGTTCTAAAATAGATGGGTAACTGTTTCATAACAGAATACGCGTAGCGCCCATGATTTCCTGTGCAGTTGACGTAACTTTGCCAACCTTGTAGAGGGGTCACTCTCACCTGGAAAACTGTGGTACTTCCCCGGCTCATTCACTTAACACATTTTTTTTATTCTGTGCACTATTCCAAAAAGATACCTTTTTTATCAGAGAGATTGCAAAGATACAGAAGGGATATAAAGCAAAACTTTTCGAAACACGAATAGCACTAGAATAGGAGATGAGATTTTTCTACATATTTCAATTCTCCTTAAAATGTGATTTTTGTAGGTAAAAATAAACTACAGTTTCAGCACAAATTGTTGATATACAATTCAAAACTAATGTGACAGGGTGTGCAAATATTAGACGACAGACGAAGCGTTCGCTGAGGCAATGTGTTTGTGGAACGCAAATTGATTTATCATATACCAGTAACATATGAGGTATTGGAAATGGAACGTTTTGGATTTATTTGCATACAAGCCGCTCTAGCGACTTTACTTCGGAGCACATTACAATGCATGAATATTCCTGATCAAAAACATACGTTTCTGGACATATTTTGGGCCGTGGTACCTCAGTGTTCGCCATAAATGCTTACCTTACTGCCCTGGTCTGTTTTTACCTATGATTAGATGGTGCAATTTTAAGTGCATTAAGATTAAATAAATAAATAAATGAATACCCTGACTTTCGATACATGAACGCAGAAAAGAAATTCCCGCGAAGTTTTCGACTCTATAATTTTCGGGAAACGGCGGTAATTTTAGTGTTTACTACGTCATTTGGTCAGTGGCAAATTGACAGCTCTGACTCGATTTAGAAATCCGTTCTGAGTTCGGACGTTAGATGGAAAAGTTATTTGCTCAGACAGCGTGTTCCTTAATAATTGCAACTATTCTTACAAATGTTACTAAAATTTATATATTTTTTGAAGTTGTATTTCGTTGCACGCATTTGGAAAAAAATATTTGAGTAAATTTTTTTTCTATCTGCCCGAACATAGCCAAAAAGCGACATGATAAAGTTGGTTGCATAGAATCAACTTTGCAGTATTACCATGGTAACCAATAAAAACTTTTTCACGTTTACCTACCATTTCAAGTTATTTAATTTGCATGGCTGACGCACAAACCGTGCAGGCCAAGAAATGGGGAAAAAAAAGTTATTTAATTAAAACTATCAATTGCATTCAATATCTTTTTCACAAACGAAGAGTACTGGCACAATGGACAAAATGTTTAATTATTTTTCTTTTGTGACGCTAAAGAAGTATAACTTCTTACTTGCATACATAAGTACACACATGTTTTTTTTAAATACTTGATCCTGTTTCAAATGTGTTTCAAAATGGATGACTTTTACTGATAACAATTTTGAAGCGACGACGACCTTATTAGACAATGTACGTTTCTTATTTAAGGGATACATAGTGGCGTTCGCAGCTGTTAGGGGTGTATAAATATGTAAGCGGGTGTCGGTGCTGTGATAAATTGGTGTAAGTCAGGGATTACGCGGCAAGCTCCATCTATCATCGGAGAGTTTGCGGACACAAAAGCTTCCAATATCTTTGCCACACTTTTACGCTGGCTTGCGCGAGTCGACCGTCTCGCAAAAACACACAATCAGTTTTTGTTGCAAGCTCGTTACTTTGCGACATATTGAACTTCGTATAACGAAACGTGAAAACCGTTTCCAACAAACCTCGTCTCGTTGTACCTGCTGCTCTCGCAATTACGGAATTAATTAACTAAAGGTAAATTTCGGAAAGCCACGGTTTGGATATCGAAATGGAATTGTATTGTAGTTCTATACCAAACGGGTGCGCAGATTCGAATCTCGCGGCGACGAAATTTTTTTCCTTTTATCTACAAACATCACATTACATCTTTCATCTGAGTTCAGAAAATTGCACAAAAAATTAAAACCTATTTAGTAATAAATATCCCTGTTTACATAGGAGGCCTTTGCCTAGCAGTGGGACATTTATAGGCTGTTAATTTACTTTAGTAATAAAAAACAAAACCGACTTCAATTAATATTTCCCTTACTACAAATTTTATATTTGATTTTTAACATTTTCCCCGCTTTATCGGATTGCAAGGTCCAATATGAATGAAATTAACATGGGACCACATGGGAGCTAAACCATATTTTTTATAATCCTTTCATAAATGACGGTGTTTTGAGGCAAGATAAAAAATATACAACCGAATAGAGAACCTGCTCATTTTTTGAAGTCGGTTAAAAGTTAATCGTAAGTAGTTTACTGTTTTTAAAAAAGACATAAGTTATATACATCCTTAAATATAACTCGTGGCAAACTATACACGTATTGTGTAAATATAGCAAACACGCCTAAGCGCTAATGTTTCTTTTGAATGATTGATGGTCTAGGTTCCATTTTCGTTCTTTTGTTGAACACTTTCAGGTCACGTGCACAGCCGGTAGCATTGGAATACGTGAATATGTATGCCGATACAAATTGTGCAATATTCTAAAACTGTATATCATAAATAATACTGTTTATTTATGATTCACTACCGACGAAATGAGGGATAAAAATTCCAAATGACAACGAAATTTGCGCACAATGCAACGTTTGGTGAAAAATAGTGGTGAACAGGAGGCAAAAGGTAAATCGCAATTAAAACAAAGTTTTTGAGGTGATAACTTCTTAGGCGTGTTGACCACTTTTTGGGTGAACAAAAATCAAGGAACTCGCGTTATCGTCACCGAACGCTCACTATGAGCTGGTTATAAAAAAGCAATACGCAAAATACATTTGTCGTTATGGATATGCTATAAACATTGTTTTATCGTTCGGTGTGCCTTTAAAATACTATACCTAAATATTCTATAATTTTAATTTTGATATTGTTTTATGCTGTCACTGTCTGCTGTTTTTATATAAATTAACAGATTTTTCCTTAGACCTTCATTTCAAGTAGAGTATTTTTCTTATTCTACTTATTCAAGTCTTATTCTTATAAGAGTGATAAATATGAAAATAAATAGGGCAAGGTGAAAATAATTTCCTAACTTGTGTGAAACAAATAATAATATACCGAACAAAAAAAAATGAGGATGTGAAAGTATTTCGCAGGTTTTTTTTTAAATAAATAAAGAACTTTAATAAAAAACAATAGACAATTTAGGAACATTAACTATACTTAGATATTAGTGTCGGATGAAGAATGAGACAAACTACTATTCATAAATCTCAAAATGTCAGTTGTGATTGAAAAGATGCGTGAAGAAGTTTTATCCTTACCATTCTCATAAGAAACATAAATCGTTTATGCTCATACATTCTATTCGTCAACGTCTGTCAATGTCATGAAGGAGACAATATTTCAAATAGTCATTCAGGGGAAGGTTATACGAGTAGATACTGTCTCATACAAAAATACAAATCACTACTTATAATATGCATTGTCGCCTCTCCGCTTCGGCGTCGTATAAGTAGAGCACCGTCGAAATTTTTTTTCAAGAACACAGACACTTCAATTTTATTATTGGCGCAGAAGATACATATAGGTGGGTATATTTCTATATCAAGGGGCGTTTTAGTGAAACGCAATAGACGCTGAATCAACCGCCCGTGCCGGGTCTATAAAAGCTTCGCGAGTGTTCGGGCAACAATGTCTTTTTATGGGCGGGTGGTTACATCGAGGGCTTGGGTGTTGCTCAAGAGTGGTTTGCTGAAAGCGTGTCACGACGCGTTCATTGTCTGATAGCGACGCATTGTGAAAAGGGTCCTCGAACACCTCTCCCTAAACCATAGACGCTTTTTATGCGAAAAATGATATCGGATCTTATCGATTGATACCGAGTTATGTCCTGGCGTATAATACGAGTGTAATTATAACGTTTAACTTATCATTTTTTTTATGGAGAAATGGGGAAAACGAGCAGGAGGCTCACCTGATGGTAAGTGATTACCGCCGTCCATGAACACCTGCAACACCCGAGGGCTCACAAATGCGTTGCCGGCCTTTTAAGAAAGAGTATGCTCTATTTTTGAAGGTTCCCAGGTCGTAACGGTTCGGAAGCTATCATTAAAGCTCACCAGAAATTATATAACAATTACGTTTTTATTGTTGAAGAAAATAAACAACGAACATACTTTGTTTTTAAGTAAAGCTCAAAGTTAGTCATTTAATGCAATATTGGACATAAGATATATACTAATCAATGGAAACATTTAAAATTATTTAAACTTATCGAATATACATTTTAACTTTAATATAACTTAATTAATTACATATAACTTCAGATGACCATAAAAGAAAATTTACTTCAAATGTATCTATGTATGTACGTTAATTGGTTAAGCTTAGAGCCATCATTTAAGCAAAAAACAAATTATTTGCAAAAATTTGGGATAATGATGTTTATTGGTTATCGTTATCATCATCTGAGGCATTAAAGCCGCGGGCCTTAGCCTTCGCTTTCCTTCACCAACCGTAAGCCCCAAGATCTTGGTGTCCTGTTTGATGCCGTCCAACCATTTGAGCTTGAGTCTGCCTCTGCTCATGTGGCCATTCATTTTACTTAATTTTGATTTTTGATAAAATTTTCAAGAGATCTTCAGCTTAGCCCAGCGGGTAATCCTGCGAGTGTTTGGTAGCGTTTGGATTGACTTTAGTTATAAGTATTGTTAGAAGTTATATGATTAGTATTAGTTTTCTTTTATAATTCGTATTAGCAGTGTGAACTAGGGACGGGTTGTTGGTTCTGAATGAACACTAATTTATTAATGAACACTGAGGGCTAAGTTGAATTCTTTGATGTGTTATTAAATGAAAAAGCCTAGTAAAATATAGGAAAATATACATTTCTTTAACAAATCGACCAGGCTTAAAATATCACTGCGAATCCGTGCGAATGAAGCAATAAAATCTCAGGTACCTATCCCGATGTAAATACATTGAAATTCAGAGGCGATTCTCTTATTTACTTACACGTTATTAATTGGAAGCACCGTCGCTGTCCGGAGCGGTCGTGTGTTTCGCAGTGTATTTTCGCAATTCAAACAATATCACGATAATTAACAACTGTTATATTATACATGCTTACCGTCCGTTAAAAATTAACTGATTGTGGTGATATCAAAACTTTTTAAATCGTAAATAACCAATATAAGTTTCACAAACATTTCATGTAATTAAACACATTAAGTTAATTTTCATCAAGATATGTATTTGATTTTTTCATTTACCTCGGACATATAATTTTGACTTTCTCCTAATTGTGCATGTATGTATTACACAGTAGGAAATTAAAGAACAACCTTTGTCTATTTATATATTGACTACTTTTACGGTGGTAGAGCCACACAACAGCCTCGGCTGTTGCACGAATGGGCAGGCCCGTCCGGGTAAGTACCACGACCTCACAGAAGACCAGCGTATAGTGGAAGTATGACAAATACTTTCGCGTTTCGTCTGGTGAGTGGGGTAGCCGGAGCCCAATTTTCAAAAGGTTGTCAACGCATCTGTAACCCTCGGGTGTGGCAGATGTACATGGGCGGCGGTATTCACTTAACATCATGTGAACCGCCTGCTCGTTTGACAACTTTTCGTATAAAAAAAAAGAAAAAAAAGACTATGATCCTTCTATAGAGCTGCTTGTGAAGTGTTGTTTGGTGTAGTTGATTTTGTAAGTGAAATAAAATAACGTAATGACCTAAGTATTAATATACGACTCTTGGTCAAAGTCCTAAACTATACATGACTATAATGTGCAGCGTCCACCACGCGGCTTCACGCAATTTCAATTTACTGTTTTTAATTATTTGAGATATTATGCGGGTATTCGAGACATCGGGGCTAACCCTCACTATGATCTTCTACAATGCCAAGCAATTGGTAAATGAACACTTAAAATTTTAATCAACAATTCCTTGATGCCGGCTCCGGAATTTGAACTCAAGTTCCTCGAATATTCTAAATTATGCTAATTATTATTAATTACTAATCTAGGTTAAATACGGCTTCAATTTTCTTTCAGAAAAGGGGATGACGACGCTTCAGCTATCACTTTTAGAATGTATTATATTTTGTCTTAAATTTAATTCATAACTAAAATATATGAGTACATTTTAAGTAAATGTTTAAAACCAGTCCTGAATCCAAAATTTGATATAAGTTTGTTGCCCACGGTTTAGTAATTTAATAATAGTCGAATGATAAACGTGATAATTCACAGTTCAGTAGGACAAGAATATTAAACGATTATTTAATAAACTTGACAATACCAGTAATGTTATTCAATAAGACAAGATCTAAGCGTTTATTGTTTTGTTGCAGATGCTATTGGTTGGAAGAAGAAAGGAGCATTGGTAAAGTTGTCGGTGAGTATACTCTACTATTGATAAGATATTTTCCACATCTACAAACTAAGATAGTTTAAATAATTTTTTATCCGATCTGATTAATTAAAACAAATTCACTTATACGACCTTAATAACTAAGAATGTGGCTATACATAAAATATATGTAACGTCTTTAATTGACCATTATAATTCAAGATTAAACGCTGTAAAAATTTAAGATATTTAATGAACCTATTCTAAATAAAAACTTCGACCTTAACCGGTGTCCGTATTTTCGTTTATAAATGTGTCTCGATGAGCATTTCCAAAGACCTTTATAATATTTGAATTAGATAAAATATTCTGTAGACTTTAAGATTATAAAACTTGGTGCAACAAACATAATACACCAATTTTATAAGTTAAATGATCATTCATAATCATATACAACGGTTTAAGCCTATACGTTGCCTTTTAATGTACTGAATACGGATGCATCCAATTGACCAGCTGTATGGCTTCGATATTAATAACTCATAGAGTAAGCGTGACGGAATAACGATAAATGACTCGGTGCAGGACAGTCATTTATCGTTGAAATTTCAACGATAGCGGAGCGCTGAACGCCGCTCCAGATAATTGCAGAAATTGCACAGCGAGTGCGGGCGTTAAAATTAAAGTGTACCGCGCTTAATGTAGGGTGGCGGAAAAACCCCACTGCGCGAATCGCTACACGATAATTTCCCGCCGTTTAGAGTGACTGCCGAGCGCCTAGCGAAGCACCACTCGGCGCGCGGGGAATTAAACAACAACATGAAAATTAAAGGGTCCCATTCGGCCCCGCAAGCGACGGTCAGTGAGCGTATCTCATTATGTTCGATTGGATTAAATTGGAGTCGGATTATTTGGCGAACACTTGGAAACGGAACGGGATCCGCTTCGATTCAATTTGTCCCAAATTTAATTGCAATCGAAACGGTCGACTGACGTAAAACCCGCTTGTGGGGATTACGCCTTATGACGTTGACGGCCGGCGCCACTGTTTTGGGTTAATTAAAAACTCAAAGCATGACGGATTACTGAGCTTCGACGGATTTAGTTAATTTTTGTTTTGTATAAGTTTAGTATGTTCTAAGTTCTTGACTTAATCATAATAATAGAACAAAGATATAACAAAAAAAAATCGAAAAAATTAGGTAATACATAATACGAGAATTGTTTGGTAATATTAGTATAAAATTATGTGTTACATAGTATAATTTATGTATTACACAGTAATTTATGTATTACACAGTAGGAAATAAAAGAACAACCTTTGTGTATTTATTATATTGGAGACTATGATCATTCTATACAGCTGCTGTATTGTTTCCTGTAATTGATTTTGTAATTGAAATAATAATAATAATAATCGAAATAAGAATAAACCCAACCAGACGAGGAAACAAATGAATATCCCCCCATAATCGAAATAAGAATAATAACGTAACGTAGCACGTAATGTAAGTATAAAATTTAGTAATAAAATTAAATCTACCTTTCCTATTATTAACTAAGTTTAAAGTTCCAATTCATATTTTATGTGTTATTGCCTAAGAGCATTGAGACCTTAATAATACAAATCCTTACTAATATTATATACGCGAAAGTTTATATGTATGGATGGATGTTTATTACTCTTTCACTCAAACACTACTGAATGAATGGATTTTAATACAACTTTACAATAATATACCTTTTATATTCATATTTTATGTATATCTTTCTGTCTGAATCTTACCCTTTCAGCCTATTCTACGCAGACGTAGTCGCGGGCAGCAGCTAGTAATTTATAATTGGAAAAGAATGATTGATTGTTGTGTGAAAAGGTTATCATAAATGGCCGTATAAGTTGGTTTCCGGAAATAGAAAGGGGAATCTTATTCAATGCTACTAAAGGAATGGCCAGCCTCATCCGGTGAAGTACCACAACCTCAAAAGACCGGAGTGAAGTAAAGTATTATTCTTACTCGTTTCGCTTGTTAGTAAGGTAACCCTAGACACATTTTAAAGGTTAGCAACGCATCTGCAACTCTTCAAAAATGTAGATGTTTACGGGCGGCGGTAATCACTTAACAGCAGGTGAGATGAGCAAACCTGCTCGCTTTCCAACATTTCACATTAATAAAGTTAATAATAATTAATTAATAAATGAAAAATTTATAGGAAAAAAATGGTCCTTTTCTGTTAAGGATGTTTATCTAGATGACGCCTTACGATGTAATAAAAACAAACTAGATAAACTACGTAGAGATTTTCATCAGTGTGAAGATATGGCATTTAGCTCAGTGGCTTGAGTGTTGGGTGAGTTGTCTAAAAACAATTCGTCTAATTTTCCACATATTTTAAATTTCATCTTAAGTACGGAGAATAGCACTATAATAATCAATTTAAATTTTAGACTTCATTAAGTTTCTATAAAACTTTTTAAATATACATAATTTGTATCGCCATTTAATCAGAAATATCTTTAAAATGTAATTTTGTATTACCCAATTACAGTTCTTAATCTATTTATTTATGAACGTAACTTACTGATTTCACGGATGGCAGCCAATGCGTAGCAACCACTTACTGCGAAGCAGCTATAATTTTTTAATTATAGCGACAACATTTTTTTACACAGCCTTAAACTTTTCGTACGCTCCGTAAGAGCTTTCAAAGTCGACCAAAAGAATCTTCACGTTTTAATGAACGTTACAATTCTCATTTAAGGCTCTTTGAAATGCAAACTAACTTTATATATTTATTAAATTTAGAAATATCAATTACCGTCACATAAATAAAAAATAAACTATCCAGTCTCATACAAGCATGCAAAATTTTTCTATTTTGATTATTCTATCTACATCTTTCCCTGTCTATATCTAGATCTAAATTATAGGGACAATTTTATTATTTGGGCTCATAAAGGCTACACAGCCAAATAAATAACTTGCTAGTCTTCCATTTAAAACATGTTCTGTTGAACAAGATATTAAATTCAGAAAATATTCTTTAACGGGCTCTATTGTTTCAGATTATAGAGGAATACAAACGCTGTGTGTCTGCTCACGACGGCAAAATGGAATAGAAAATATGTTGCCCAGGTAACCGCAGTTTGGTGAAGCAATTTTGTGGCGAAATACGCTATATATCACGGGAGAGTGTTCCCGTACATAATTTTTAAACAATCACCAAAACTTCCCTTATTTACAGCTTAAGTTCGACCATTAAAGCCAGCGAAGTTGAGATGGAAGCGCGAAATATGAGTGAGTATCCAGAGGTATCTGTTTATGCTTAAATATGCTTGTAGGAATAAATGTGGTCACGCAAAATTGGCATTATGTTTCTGTAAATAGAAAACTTTTAATTCATTCTCAAGATATTATTACTTGCCAATGGATTTTGTATTTCCGTATTACACACACATACATAAATTTATTTACATTTTATAATATATAATATTTAAATGTCAGTAACCGTTTGTGTGATTCATGATTTTTTAATAGCGGTGATAAAATAACGGGACATTCTGGTATTCAAAATTTCATTAATTTCTATTATTTCTTCTTATACTTTCAACGGGACGAATGTATTTTCAAGTCTTTTTTTTGCACTTGGTCACTACTAACCATTAAATAGTTTTGCAAAACCGTTACAGGCAATTTCTAAGTGATGAGACGTTTGTTTCAATTTTAATATGACTGTTACGAATCTTTAGAATTGCATATTTACGTATTTTTTACCTCCATAGTTTTGCATGCTCTCCAACTACTATCGAGTTGTGTGTGGGCTTTAAAACAGATAACATCGAAAGTTATAATAAGGAAATGCAAAAAATTTTTTTATAATGACAGCCCTATTTAAAACAATACGAAAAGAATATTCTTTCTCTATTGTTTCATTTTATTATTTTTCACAATCTTTTCAAATTAATAAGCCTTACATGTCTATATATAAGAGTGATCTATTTAATTTTTTTTGGGATATATCGCGATTTTTCTATGTGACTGATAGAAATTCAGTGAAATACACCAGGCCAGTGTATTTGACTGGTTGTAAAATGTTTAATTTTGGTTTAATCCCCAACGTTTCAAACTCTTTATATATTCAAGAAATATACTAAAGAGTTTGAAAGGTTGATGTTTTAAGCTAATTTTAACCCAATGTTGTCTTTTAAATTGTTGGTCTTTTAAAAACCAAATTGTCTTGTAAAACCCAAATTGTTGGTCTTTTAAGCTAATACTATCCCAATCCTTTAACTGTTTGTGATTTTTGGATCCAAATTAATTAAGAATTAAAAAAATCAGTATAAAATTAAACGCAAAAAAAACTTAACAAAACAATAAATAATTTGAGTGTATGTTATATAATTTAAATAAAAGCGTCAGACGATTAACACATGAATATAACAAGCACCAACACTCAATACGAAACGTACACAAAACGGGGGAAAGGACAAAATTAATGTGTCATTTGTGCGTCGGAATAAACAACGGGTGGCGTTCCATACCTTACGGGAAAATAACAATCTTCCATTTATCCGGTGGAAAAATACGACAAATTACCGGCCTAATTCATTCCATTACTCCCTAATGTCGGTTAATAAAACATTGTGTTTGTGCGCCATCAAATACAATGGCCGGCCTCGAACCGCCTCAACGATAGTAGGGAGCTCGCAATTTTGCGCCTCTTTCCCTCCATTGCTGGATGTCTCACTGGCTAAACGTGAACTGAGAACTGTGACGTACATTTCACTCCATTGTTTGCCATGGCAAGTCCTCCCTTTAACTAGAAATACCCTTTGGTGAATACTCTCAGGGTCGTTTTAAGCAAAATGCTTTATTACTTTCTTCTGCAGAACTAGTAGCAGATGTGGATTTGATCATTTGTTTGATGAAGTATCTTCTTACGATAGATTCTCCTGTCTCCAAATCAATATATTTGCGATTCGATTTCGATGATCTTGACGAATGGCCATATTACATTTGTTCAACGCGGGGAAATCATCCACCCAAAGATAAGATTACGGCTAAAACCGCTGTGGTTGTCATCAGCTCAGATGAAGAGTCACGGGATATCCAATTTCGAACACCACCGCACCTTTACTACACTTAACTTCTGGTATACTTAATTTGTCTTGAAGCTTTACGTTTAATTAAACGAAAACTATTTAAATTTAAAAAGAAATTTCACAACACATTTTAACTTTGTCATAGTTTGCTTACATCATTATTGCTAGGACAAGAACGCGAACCTTTCATTTGCGTCCCGGTTATGAGTTTCTGCGCCTGTCAAAGGGGAACATATTGCTCTACGGAGCTCGTATTTGAAGAACAAGAGTGTAATTCCCGCAGGTTTTGTCTTCCGGCGACACATGCTGCAGAATAGAAAGGCGTCCGCGTACAAAGCGGTCCTTTGCATTTTTAAAATCTCCACATTCGCAGTGGCCTGCGGAGAATGGAAAAAGTTATGCTGTTTGACCGACAGTCGGAATTCGAAATCTTGCTCACGTTGTTTGTCGGACAAGACTGAATTTGGAAATGCTCGCGTTACCTCGCACGTGGAGAGTTCGGGTCGTAAGTGAAATTCGTACCGTTTGCCAATTATTCCGATCACGTGACTGTACTTGTTCTTGCACAGATTTCGCCCGAACATTTTCGCAAACATTTTCGCAGCGATTAACTTTAATTTTACCCCAAAGACTGTATTAATCTCGCGGGACTTGGCTCTCGTTTGAAATTCTACGTTTACTTTCTCACTACCGTATTTTTTGTTCCATTTGTAGTAAGACGTTCCCTTTCAATCTAGTTTCTTTCGTTATTGTTATTTCTAAAAATCGCGCTTAAAGAAGGTGCCTTAGTCTACCGTTACGTTTTCAATTTGTCATTTATAAAAATACCTTCTCTCTACAAAAATTACTTGCTTCTACTCTTACTATTAAATACATTGCCATTTTGTGATTATTTTCTGCATATAATTTAATAAAAACAACAAAAAGTTTACACAAATTCCCTTGTTTGTATAATTTAATACAACGCTGGCTTAAACAAACAAGTTTTCAGTGTACGTATACCCTCTGGAACGTAGAAGGCACAAAGTCGCGTGCTACGGCGTGCTACGCTTTGAGGGGAGGAGACATTGCAATTCATTCTCGCATTTAAAAGGCGGACTGTAATTTAACGGGTCTTTGTCTAGACTACGTTCGTTGAGGCCTGTAGTGGTACATGCATTAAGGGCGATTTCTTTTATTTTTCTCAAACGCCGCGATTAAACTGCTTGTGTGTAGTATGTACAGTACGCGACAGATATGAATCTAACCTGTGCTGTGGGTGGTTTCCGTACAAAACGTTCAGAAATCCACAAAACGTGTGGAGCCAATTGAGCGATGCATTGTTACGTAGCGCGGTGTTTTATTTCGTAGCAGTTTAAATGTTGAACGGCCTTATTCGGATGGAGCGTGACTAGGTCACTGCACTCTTGGAGAGTTCACAGTATTGATTTTATTGCGCACGGCCAAAAATATAAATGCTATATGCCGCTGCACTAAAGTGCCACTTGATTTGGCTCTCGTGTGCGAAACTGCGCTCCGCGAGCATACAGTCATACGTAACCGACATATCTATAAGGGAATTAACTACGAAAAGTAGTTACGATATTTAATAATAATTACTTATGTATAAATCTGAGATATCATTTCAAACTTAAACGGGAAAAAAAATTGAGAAAGATTTTAAATGTAACTGTAAATAAAGCCATAATATTTAATACTGTTTTCATTTTTACGTTTAAGAACTTCTCAACATTGATTATAGAAATGTTTGTTGATATTATTTAAAAATATACGAATTGTAATTTTTAACTAGTTGAATATTGTACTATTGACTTGTTTCTACGAATCTCTTTCGGAGATTATTTTAACACGAAGAGCGAAAACTTTTCAATCCTTTTTTATCTTTATAGGTCTTGTCAAAAAGGAGCAGAGAAAGGAGGGCATTGTTTTCTTAAACATTCCAACACAAAAGTCCTTTCAGTGGGGCGAACGGTAAGTTAAACTTTCCTAACGTTTTGCTTACTTTGAATAAGGTATTTCTTTTTAATTCTTAAAATTCGACTTGAAGATGTTCGAAAGACCGGGACGGTTTTCACCGCCCCTGATTATTTCAGTCAATGGCCAAAGCCACAGTCAATACTGAACTTCGGAAAGTTTCTAGGTAACATTAATCCACACATATATCGCACTCAGGGGCACATGCAGGGCCCTACCCAACGCGAAGGGCCGTATCATGCTTTTGGATTCTAGCTATCTTACTAGTTCTATTTTCGACGAAAGTTTAATAGTCTACGGACTGAAAACTAAAACATCGGTTACAGTAAGTTCGAAGAGCTTCAGTTATCATTAATCATAATATTTATATTATGAATTTTTGTAGATAAATTAATTTTGTAGATAATTACTGCGCCAGATCTTCAGGTTATTTTCACACCCAGACGTTTTATCAACTAAGCTAAGCGACCGACTTGTTCATTTATCTACAAAATTCACAATTTAAAAAGCTTTGTCTAAGTACAGAGGCTAGACAGATAATTTAGTTTCTTATTTACACATTTTATATTGGGAGGATAATTAATTCTAATGATTTACCCACCAAAATAATGAATTTTATGGATGCAGATTAAGATATAAGATGGCGAAGAATGACCAAATTATTATTTATTTATGATCATAGCCATAGGTAACAGAATAGTTATCACCCACCCAAACCGAGAAAGTAGGTAGTAATTGGATATGGAGACTCAGCACTCGCAATTTGGGATAGACCTTTCACACATGTCTCATAAGAGGTAATATGTTTAATTCAGTATTCCAGTGTCAGACTAAAAGTTATCGGAATCAAGTTTTGAAGAATCCTTATTCATAGATTATTCATATCATCATTAAAAGTTATAAATTAAAGCTAGTTCTTTTGTTAAATCGATACAATATTGAATCTCTGTATATTATTTCTCATAGATATTTTTTTTTTCGATAAGATATAACTTCCATAATTTATCATGAAATTGAATGATTCAAACACTATTATAAAACTTATATTTTCTATTATTGGAAAATAGAACAAAATTGTATTTTTCATAAAAACCATCGTTTAAAAATTTCGTATAAAAACTAGCTGAGCCCAGCCATGCTTCCATTTAAGCTTTTTTTTTTTCGTTTCCGCTAGAACTTCGGAATAAAATGTTCTGAAACACTCTCCTGTTCAATAGCTATGTTGGGAGCAAATATCAATACAATCCATTTGCATTATATTTGTGGACATAAACATACGGAACCTATGTGGTAATGGCATATATTGACAATTTATTTTAATGAAAAATAGCGAAGTAGACCGGTCCCCGGAGTAAGATACCCTTCATTGTTCAATACTTATTTTCTTCATTACTTTATTTATATATTTATTTAATCTTTATTGCACTCAAATACTGTATATGATCACGGTACCATGCGAATATTTATTTATCTATTTATTGCAATTACCTTAATCAAGAATTACAAAGGGCGAACTTAATGCCTTTAATCATTCTCTCCCAGTCAACCCGGGGGTGGATATAAATTGTGGTAGGTGCAATAAAAAAAGTTCATTACTAACGTGAATGAAATATACAATGTATGGAATATACACACGCTTAAATAAATATAAATACTTAGATACATACTCAAACAATATATATTAACAAATAAACATACATACAATACACATACATGTTATATATAAAAATATTAACACGTATACATAAATATAAACATTTAAATAATATTGAAATAATTATGAAATTTAACATTCAGATGTTAAATAAAATTCGCGGACCTTGCATTTGAATGAGGCACACGGCTCAACTACTTAATCAATGAAACGAACAACGAACACACATATATAATAGCTGTCTCTACAAAATCATGTTAAATGATTTTAATGTTCTGTACATTCTCGCACCCAGCTTGAAAGCTGGTCAAAACTTTACTCAAAACTTTAAAAATATCTTGCATAATTAAAGAAGTTTATCTCATTCGGAGAAACAGTCTTACAGTTTTTCTTTTTTAAATTGTTTACAAAGATTCAATACTTTCACAGTGTCAAAAAAACATAGATGGGTCCCGATTTCCACGCTCTTCTACATAATGTCAATCCGCCAGTTCACAAATTAAAACAGTTTAGATAAGTAACGTACCTAATTATGTAAATATGTAATAGTGATCAAAGAGTTAATTCACTCAATCCGAGCCTGTTACAAGCTCATCTGCATAATAAATTCGATCCATTAGTTCGCAAATTTAAAACAATCTAGATAAATATACGTACAAATATATTGAACGATCAAATGTTACGATACCTTACATATGAATTGAATTAAAACTAAATGTAAATTGCTAAAATGTACCCTACGCGGATAAGAATACATCACAATGTGCCATGCGTCACAGATGGCCCCGTTACATAATTACCTCAGACGCCCGACGCTGCGGGGGCGACGACCCGACACGACTTTGACCCACTTCTCAGTTTAATTTCGCGTCTCACCGTAGACAATATCACCTACAGACGTTACTACCGGCTTCCGGGCACCTGTTGTCCCGCGACGCATATATTTCGGTTTTGAACGACCTCCCTCTTAGCAACCCGTTTGTTTATAAAGTATAATAGAACAAATAAAATATGTTTTACACACCACGGCTGTGCAAAGGCCTCGACTGTACAGAAGATATTAGAGTATAGTCCACACCACTCCGCGTTTACATATGCTGGTTTCCTGACGATGTTTTCCTTCACCGCGGAGCACGTGGTAAGTCAGCACTTAAAGTTAACAATTTCATTGGTGCCGGCACCGGGGATTGAACCCAGGTTGCACGAATATATTAAACGCGGTTCTACATACATACATAAAAATAAATGTAGAATGTTTTTACCTCACTATAAATAGAAAAAACACGCATATATTATGATATATCTATACATTCTACATTTATTGTTCTGTATGTATGTAGAAGATATGTCTTAACTGCATAAAGTGGTAGTAATATTTTCTAAAACGTAAAAAAATTATGTATTATGTTTTAGATTTTGAACATATCATCGATATAAATCAAGAAATATACACATGTGCCACGTTTTTGAAGTTCATATTTTCCCAACTTTGAGCATCACGAGAAATTTGTACGCGTTGTAATGTTTTCATTCCATTACCTATGATTTGGAACGTTCGAAAAGGGTTGGGTGGAATAATATTTCGCAGGAAAAGGGAAAGAACGATATTTTCAGAACTGTCTATTTGCGTAATATTTTATGTCTTGGTTATATGAAGAAATTGCTGCTCAAATACATACCCATTACTTAAACAAATAAAGAACTGTTTCACATTAGCCTTCTGTCAAAGCTTTTACTTTATAGTTATATATAACATTATACTACTAATTATAGCTTTCGTAGGTAGAAGCTTGTTTCAATAAAATTCTTAATTGAACAACTCCTTAAAACTAGATTCTTCTTTTAATAATAATGAGAAACCGTAAGATCATACATCTGACATAATTTTTATTTTTACATTACCTTTTTATGTGAAAATTTGCAAGCGAGAAGGCGGCTCACTCGATGTTAAGTCATAACCGACGCCTATGGACATATACAACTGCTAAGTGATTACAGATTCAATGCCAATTTAAAAAAAAATGGGCTCCAACTACCTCACTCACAACGCGAAACGCGAAATTGACCACAGAAGCCACAGAAGACTTTCCCTTCAGGTCCGTCTTCTGTGGGTGAGGTGGTTCCCCGGAGAGCCTTTCCATAGGTGCAACAGCAGCTGTTGCCTGGCCTCCCACCAGCTTCGCTTTTCTTTCACAATTTTTCAGCACATAATTAAGTTTATCAGAAGCTTATCTGTAACTTAACTGTTAACAGAGGGAACGAGGGTTTCGTGCTAGTTCAATCCCCCTAAAATAACTCCGTTGAAGATGCTTTCGTAATAAATCACTTCAATTTATTAGGAGGAAACGTCGTTACTCAGATATCGTCACATCTCGTTCATGAAATCGTGATAAAAGTTCGCGCCAGTTCCCAGTCGCCGCTGGTGTCTACGTCTCGAACTTTGTCACGTCTAAGTGTTTAAGCCGAGAACTTTTCGCATTAACAAACAGCTTACTTCGGTAATTTCACTCGCGCTGGAACTTTGTTTCATTTACTGTATGCTGTCGCTCATTTAAGATATCGCCTGTAAAAACGGTGTTATTATTATCACTAGGAAACCCCATAAAAATAAAGATAATAAAAAAAAAAATATTATCACTAGAACTACCGTAATATTGATGAATGTAACGTTACGTAACGTACGTTCCCGAATTTACCCCGAAAAATAATGCTTAGCAAATAACTGATGGATATTATTTCTTAATATTTAATATCAGGTTGATTATTGTTTCTATCGAAATGAAATAAATAGAACAGGTTAATTATAAGGGAAACATTAAAATGTACCAGTTTGTATTAAAATGTTTATTAGAGAACACTTGTGATTAATAAGATATCCCGACTGTGAGTCAATTCAATACTACATTAGAATTATATCAATACATATTTTCCAACTTCGAAGGAATAGAATTAATTAAAGAATAAAAAGTTGAACTTACATCTCTTACATCAAACGCTGTGCTTGTCACAAAATAAGTACTCAGCTCTTATCGAAGACAAAAGAATTACTTTTTAATTCTGTATTTTTAGACTAAATATATGCACATAAAATAAAAAATAGAAGTACCAAGAAGGCTCAGATTCGCATACCGGCAACGGCAAAAATTTTTTTTTCCGACAATTTATTTACACATTTTAAATTTTAATATACCTTGCTAAAAGTACTTATCATTTTTTTGTAAAAAATTTCATGTTTTAAATTATTTACTGGCCAAAACAAACATTCTTAGTGTAAAGTCCAGTTAACTTCGCACAATGCTGCCACAGAGTTTGTTGCAGCATACTTTCTGAAGTATTTCGGCGAAGCGTTTGCAAAACCGTTGCCTGACTTATTAAAAGTTCAGCTTTTATACCGTGGCTTTAAGAGTTGCGCGAAAATTTCATATACTTTAGAAACGTTCAATGTGTTTCCTCTTGGAAGCAACATTCAATTTTCACAATAGCGAATTTTATTAAGTCGGTTAGATGTTATGGAAATTCGTAGAAATTAATGAGGGGACTATTAAAATAACAATAGCCAGTGAGTGTATAAAACAGGATGGCTGGGCTTTGTAATACATGATTCATTTATCGAAGTGATGTTTGTTTAATACCTAGAAAGCTCCTTATTAATTTGTTTATGTAAAAACATAACTAATCAAGACTCATTTGTAGATAATTTTCAGTAACTGTCGACGCCTGATTTAAAGTAAATAAACACACTTGAACAAACAGTTCTAATGGTCTACGCCTAAAGAACTTTCATCTGATAATCTTTTTTCAATCTGTATAATTTCGATTTAATGGAGAACGGGGATTTTTCCGTAGCTAAATAAATAAACCAAACTTGGAAAAATCGAAATCAAAGTGAACATGTTAACAGTCAAAATCGCTTTTATACATTTCATGAGAGTATATTTAAGGATTGTTTATCAATTATTACTCATCATCATGATATAAATAATCATTCGTTAGCTTTTCTTTCAGTTTTCAAAAGAAAATATAATTTTAACTTTTGTCTAATTTTAAACAACAATGGACATTGCGGTCCATCATAATTAAGCGAGTTGCGGATTCCCGACTGTATGTAAAGTAATAGAATCGCTGGACGATAAAAGACTGCTATCCTATTCCAAGTAAAATTTGGAACCAATTATTTCAAGATAAACTTTAACTTTATTCGCGTGTTTGGATATGGTCTTATTCAAATACTCCTTAATGTATCTATCATGAGATCTTTTATACTATCCCTTACAATTTTTTTATATCACTATCGTTCATAGGTCTGAATAAAATGTTATTGGATACTACCTAGTCTTTGAGATATTGTTTTACAATAACTCGATTTAATTGGCGAGGATGAGAAATTTCGTGGATAACATACAACAGTTACACGAAAAATTGTAGCAGGGCAAAGTTATTTAAATAATTTGGAAGCAACTCAAGACTATAAATGCGCGTTAGTTTTCTTACGTTACGTACGAAATAAGTGGCGGTTTCGAGTTAAGGCGTGTTCGAGGAAAATAATTTAACATTGTTATTCCGACACCGCTTGGTGTAATTGGTTTGCCCCCTTAAAACGGTGGCGGCGGTTAGCGCTGCTGTAGATCAAAACGGGCGCACCAAATTCGCTGCTCCGTCGCATCCGAGCGATCTGGTGTCGTTATTGCCGCTTCGAATGAAACGTAATTCTCTTTGACAGATCGCGCGGATGTTTTCTATTCTACGCCAGCGAATCCAGTTGCGCAGCCGGCGTTAACGAAGGTACGTAAATCTCTTGTTTGTTCTTATAGATATCTTACACACCTTATATTTCAACAGTTGTGGCTGTGGACCGATTAAGTTGGCCCTTAAAACAGTGTTTTTATGACAGAAAATAGATAGCCAGTGGATGTTTTCCCTTAGGTTAAGTGTTTACGGCTTAATTCCAGGGAAAAATCCAAGGTTTTTACAATATGTGTGGGTTGCTGATGCATATCCGTGTTCTTTAGTTGTGAGACATTGATACATTGCCAACCCTCTTAAAAGTTTACATCCCATTCACCAGAAGAAGTGTGTATACATCCAAAGTTACGCCCGTCTTTTATGGAGCAGCTTGCATATTCGTGCAACAGCTGATGCGTGTGCAATATTGTTATGAAAATAAACTTTAATACCTTTTGATTTAAAAACGTCTGACAGAGATGCCATGAAGCTTGTTAAATCAAAATTGTGAATACTAATGTTGGTGAGTTCCTGGACGCACTGGATTCAAATGTTCGTTCAAAAATTATTGTGTTAATTTTTGCTTTAAAGAAAAAAACCAAAAATTCATCCTTACGTTGCCTCGGGGAATGTTTTTGCGACTTTATTTGGCGAGTCAACTTTTCCGACTACTAAGTCAATACTGAATAAATATCGAATGTCTAATTACTATTTCATTACAATAAAAAAAAATTAGTCAGAGTTTTAAAACCTTCCATTATTAAGACAAAAATAGTTTTTAGGAATCTATAATGCTGATGACACTGAGCTTGTAAATATGTATAAATTTTCCAATTTTTGTTGAAAAGAAAAAGCTTAATATTTCTTTAAATTAAATAATTTTTTTTAAATATTTTAATAATTAAATATTTTGATAGTTATTTTTTTTTTAATTAAATTTGTTATCTAAGACACTTCTTGTGCAAAAAGCAATAAACATTGCTCTTAACAATGTTGCGCGTAAAAGCCGTAAAAATATCAGACGCTAAAAACTATAAAAGCACCGCGAGTCCGCAGTTTGAAAAATAACTTGAGTTTCATAACGGTACGGGTAATAAATATAAAGGCTAGTTCTACGCCACGAAGGCTGCGTCGCGGTAAAGAAGTGAGCACTAGGTTGTTGTTAAGGTCGCAAATTGCGTTTAATATTCAGTGTTTGTTTGGTGCTGCATTTTCCGCGTCACTTTAACTTTCTTACAAATTAACAGCTTTCCGCATTTTTAACCACAAGCTTACGAGTAACAGTAACTACACGTTGGCAAAGAAAAAAAAATACTATATCTGCGTTCGTTCTAGATTTATAGATCTCAAAGCTAATGAAATTATGATTATACAGCGTGTCGTTACAACCGCGACAATAAATGAACACACGTCTAACGCTAGTTGCCAATAATCATAAAAAAAATATTAACGTTAAAAAAAATCCATACTTAAAAAAACTAATTAAGTAAAAAAGAAACAAAATTTGTAACATCCTATACAACTACAACTGACTGATTCATACATTCACAGACTTTTTCATTCGTTGCCACAACGTCGCATTACAAGCCTCTCCTTCTAAATTCTTTGTTTTGAAAAATTTAATAACTCAGTAAATATTGATGTTTAAAGAATGTAAATGTTTAATACAATTTTAAAAAGTTATCCTCTATAAGTGTGTCCAATTATTGTCGCGATTGTAAAGACACGTTGTATATATATTAATGCGACAATCTTTATAAACGTAGGAGAAGTAATGACATAATTCGTTCTTAAGATGGTTAAACAGAAAATATGATAAATGACTTCTTTTAACCATTGTCAACTGAAAAAGTAACATTTTTTGCAATGTGAATAATTTATATAGTTATTAAATTGGAGTGGTAATAAGCTAAAATAATAAAATTAACAGTGTAATTACCCCGTTTTTGGAAGAAGCTAAAATAATAAAATATTTAATTTGGAAGAAACAAACAGACTACAGGAAATTGATTATATCGAACCGATTTAGTGGTCGGAGATGAACACTGCCGTCTTTCAAAAGTTTTGTAGATCTTCTTTGGACAATATATTTCGTACACATAATAAAGGAAGCCTTTGGTTATTTAACAAGAAAAAGGGTTATTACGTACTCAGCGAAATAATACAAATAACAACCTCTATAAACGATAATTTAGCGAACACGTGTTGTCTGGTTCACATAATGTAATACCTTCCCACCTGCCAGTATTAATATTTTATGTATTCCAACGTATAATATTAGTATCTCTACGCGTAAATGGCTAAAATGGGATTCTTCTAGCCAACGGAGGTACAAATATATTGCGATTCGCTCCTTCATTTTCTCGCAAGGTATTTTATTGCTTTGGGGTCGCTCATAAATTCCGTACTCACTCAGAGAGAAAAATAAAGCCCCCGTTCTGCTCCCAGCAAATTGTTGCGAGAAATTTCTTATTAGTCTTCCTTAGCTTATATGTTGTATGTGTATGATTGTTTTCATTGGTAGATGTATTAACTTTTATAATAAAATAGGTGACGTCCACTGTAAACAATTTCAATCAATTTGTAACAGCTAACAATGGTATGCGCCTATTATTATAATGTCGAAGAATAAATTGAGGACAAGGATGTATGGAAATGACTCTTGCTCTGCACTTCCTCTGTTCCTGATAATCTCCTGGACTTGGTTGGGGACTTGCAGGAACAGCCAGAGGGCTGCTGCTGATTTAACATTTCAATAATTTTGTACACTTGTATCAATAAAAAACAAGTGATAACAAGGCTGCAGTGTTCCGATTCATCTCTAAACATTTTTTTATAGTGCTAATCTCTGCACGAGACGTAAGATTGAACATTAAAATTTGTAGAAAAAGTACGAAAAGATTGTCGCCGCTGTGGGAATCGAACCTAAGTCTTCCGCATTCGCGGCCTGACGCTCTAGCCACTGAGCTAAACGGCTTCTTCTCTAGTTACGTCTAGTTAGCGGACCAGTGTTAGTTTTTTGACTTTCAATAGATTATATTAAGCATAAATTGAATAAAGAAGTTTTGACTTTGATTGGCTAGCAGTCGTTTCAATGAAAACAAAATTTGCTAGTAATTTTGTGAAATAATAAAATAATAATAATAATAATAATAAAATATCTTTATTCACATAGACGCTTGCGCGTTCTTATGAAACGTCAAAATTTTACAAGAAATTAACACGTTCGTAAGTTACCACCGGTTCGGAAAGCAGTTTCTGTTGAGAAGAAACCGGCAAGAAACTCAACAGTTGCTCTTTTTTAAAAAAAGTCAGTTTACAATATAAATAGTACATGTACAATAGTCTTGTTTTAGCCTACGTGAGTATCAACAGTATTAACCCCACACATTGGCGTCGTCAAGATATTCAGCAATAGAATAATAGGCTTTAGCCATAAGTTTACTTTTAATTTTTCGTTTAAATTCATCAAGTGGCAGACTTAATATCGACTGTGGGATTTTATTATACATGCGCACACCTTGCCCCATGAACGACCTGTTTACTTTTTGTAAACGAAACAATGGCGTAGTTAGTTTGTCCTTATTTCTAGTATTTAGTAAAAAGAACGATGTATATTGAAATTAGCATTTTGCTTACTTTCGTATATTAAAAATGCTAGTAATTATACACGGCAAAATCTGGGTTAGTTGTAACTAACATTAATTATACATACTGCCATTAATCAAATAATTAAAAAGATTATGATTCAATGAATTATATTTATTTACTTAAATTAAAATATACTGAGATCAAAACTATAAAGCATTCTAAGACTAAAAAATTGAACGCACGACATGAGTTACGTCACCATAACAAACTATCCCACGAACGCGTTGTCACCAGGAAGCGATACGGCGAAGGCGGACGGTGTAACGATTTCAGTGCCCATTAAGAAATCAATGTTTATATAGGTGTAATGATTTCAGCATCCCATAAACCGAACTGTGTGAAGCTTTGTATCACCACCCAAATATATCATGCTCAAAATAGTATAAATAAGATATCCATTCTTAGAATAATTCAGTTGTAAGCTACCAGTTGTATTGTTTGATTTATATATAAAATACAGTTTTTTTTAAACTGTTCCTGCGACCTCTCACTTAACTCACGTAGAAAAATTAAAAAAAAAATCAATTGGATATAAACCAGACTTCATTGCCTAACCGGGGTAGACGATCGCAGTTTGAACTTTTCAGAGCGTTCTGGAATTCTAATTAAAGCGGCCGTATCCGGACCAGGAATCAGCGCTAATGGAAGAAAGCTTTAATCAAAAACCTTCGGAAGCGGTTGAAAAATCCTGCCAAGGAATTCGAATCGTCCAAAGACTGAAGAGGGCAACGAACTAATTAAGATTTTATTTCGTATTTTGTAATTCAATTTACTTATTTAATAAAGATATTATTAAATAAGTACATAGCCTTTATATATTGAGTACTGTATTTTCCTTCTTTTATGAAAAAGTAAAGAAAAGATACTTTTTAAAATAGGATTAAAGGAAGGTCATAGTATCAGAGAAATCACAGTATCTCAAAGAACACCGATGCAATTTTCATTAAGTTGCTTACGAAGAAATTAACTTCTTTTATTTTTTATTATTTTTCTTACTTCATTATTCTTCCTATAAACTGACTAAAATATCACTAACGAATGCAGAATGAGTTGACGAGATAATCTTCACTACTACCAGCTAATCTACGTTATGTATTTCATTACGACGTACTTGCTATATATCGAAGGAGAGTAATGTTTGATTAATTAATTGAAATTGAGCGTATGTGTATGTGTATGTCTAATTCTTTACCACGCACTACAGCCTAAACCTTTTTACGGATTTCAACATATGAGGTGTCATTAGATTCTTCTCAGTTGTGGTAGTGATATATAGTTTATTATTTCACTTTGATGTCCGCGGAATAAAATAATAGGGGAATATTTAATGCATTTATGATCTTGGGTTTTGCTTCATTTAATAATTATTGTAATGTAATACACTTAACAACGCTATATGTTTCATCCAATGATCGGCGAAGCCGTAGTCTCACTTCAGTTGTCGACAACGTCCTGCGTTTAACGACAACAGTCCTTTTACAACCAAGTAAACCGATTGTCCAGATGACATCCTCTGAAATAAGTAAAAACAGCGTAAAACGAAAACGCCTAGCAATCCTATAGCCTAAGTCCGTGCCATAACTGACCTAGTAAAGGTCAGTTATGGCTGTATTTTGATATGAGCTCATGGCAAACTCTGAAATTAGTTTTTACCCACACAGGGTAGGCTCACATTAAATCAAACAAAGGAACCCCTTTAGTAAACTACTATAATGACATTACAACCGTTCAGTCAATAGTGACGTTAAATTAAACAGGCCATTGTGCGATCGGGGTTGGCCAATTGTTCGTCAAATCTTGACTTCCAGCATCTAGGTCATTTTACTAATAAATTACATTTGCCTCCCGCATAATTTTTGGACGACTTTACTTATATCGCTAAGCGTAAATTATTACGTTTGCGAAATTATAATATCTGATTATTACATTGGAAAACATTAAAAATTACAGTCAACATTGAATTCACTTTATAAACAACTTTAAAACGATTAACTTTATTTATTTAGACACCGAGTAATGTGATAATTAAAGATAATTACAATTTCATTACACTACAGTCTAATCTTCGTCGCGCTTTTCATTTTTGAAGGTCTTGTTGTTCTCGGTTTCTGTTGCTATTGGTAGGCAATTGTAGTTGTTAACAATTGGCAGCTAATTAACTTCTACTCATATATTTTGATATATAAGAAAACTAAATTCTGACCACTGAATACTCTGACCTTTTGCATAGTTGTTGCAACAATTATTTTTGTCTTTTTTTCCGATGTCCTTGGAATTTTAATCTCTCTGTTTTCCGTGTCAAAATATTTACCGAACGGAACATGAGAATTGCTAAAATTCCCTGACCATTTATGACAATTTTGTGACCAATTCGGCCCACCTTTAAAAAGTTTAATTTCATCATTTAAGCCGCTTATTAGATGGGGCTTCATTTATTACGAAATTATTTAAAAAAGGAACAACGATGTATGTCGGCCTTTTGTAATATAGTTAATAAAGTTGCATAACAACGTTGATAAACCACGACATCTATGTCTCTTCCGGCGTTAAGTAATGAAAATAAATTGCAGACTAATCCTTTCCCAAGCATTTACTAGGCAATATCTAAAATCCTAAAATGATATAGCAGCTTTTGTTAAAATTGAGATGAAAGTAGACAGTAAACATTAATCTCCTTCAGCTATAAACAGAGACGTGGTGGAAGCGGTATAAAAAACTCATTCGACCAAAATTCAAGCAATAAAAGCATTCTTTAAGCGTTCATATTGAATTTACTGTAGGCAGTTTTACGTACAATAAATCCAGAGCGGGGAAATGTATTAGCATTTGACTTGGCACAATGCTGATCCAATTATTTGGGTAGGCTGACGATATAGTGCTATACGGTAGATCAGTAAACTCAAATTGCAAATAACCAACGTACCCATCCGTCCGCACATGTGTGATTTGCTTAAATCACTACATATTATAGGAATTGTGTAGTACCAACAAACATTGATTGTGACCCGAAAAATTTTTTATGCTTACTGAAGCGTAGTATAGGGATGTTTTCGAATGTACGAGCCTGAATAGCAAACATTGCCGATTCTGAGGCAGCGGTTGTTAAACAGTCTCGTTTACTATATCGAAGATTTACGGCTATATCCTACTTTAAATTCTCATGTTCCGTTCGGTATACTATGCCTCATTTTGTTTTATGCAAGGTTATAAATTTGCATGCTGTTTTTATTATGTCTATGAGTTATGTGTGATGTCCACAGTTAGATTTTATTAAAATTATTAAGTTTAATTAAAAATCATTATTTCGAGGAAATGAAAAAATATATTTACGGATGTTACATACCTAATTTTTTTAAAACAAAATGTAGAGGCGTACTGAGATACTTAGATTACAGTAGCATACTAGCGATGAAGGCGTTTTATCTCAGCGTACAATTTTTTTTTTATTTCGGCAATTACCGATGCAATTAGCCAGGCACATGTTAGCGCCGTAGCCGGAGCCAATTTTTTAAGCCAATTTTAGAGCAGGACAGAGCAGTTACTTTACAGAAAGGAAACTTTCCAAATTGGAATAGTTCACCGGATATTTCCCGCTTTGGCATCCATCTTTGTGGAGGTGGGCGCCGCCCAGCGGCTGCGGGTGGATTGGACGTACTTTGTTTCTTTGTTTTCTGAAACAGCAAAGGCCGTATTATAAAAATCTATTCGTGGCTTCAAAAAATCTTTCAAACCAAAGTTAGTGTTCAAATTAAAAATATAACTTCGCGCATTGATTGTTAATATTTTTATCAAATTGCGTACGTAGATTTTAAACAGCGTTAATAAAAAAATAAAATTGTAACTAGTGTTTCCGTTGAGGAAACAACTGCGATATCTCATTAATCTGGTGCGTAAGTTGCGACTTGTTCAATATTTTATGCTAAAGGAGAGTAACAATAACTTGCATAACAGTTCCTGCTGCAAAACTAGGTTAGTTTTATCTACGTAGTACCTTATGTCTTAAGTCTATTAAACTTCACACAAATATGAGTCCTGATGAGAGTAATAAGTACGGAGGTCTACTCTCTCAATACAAAAACTCCTGCAGAAGCTTTTGTGAGCGTACATGGTAGATCACTTTCTCTAGCGAAACGTTACCTAAATTGTTATGTTGAAATAAGACAAAAAATATGGGAAGCGTCGAAGTCCTCGAAGGAAGAGGGCAAGAATAGTTTTATTCAGTAATTTACAATCACGTTTTAACAATAAATATAAAACAGAGATACATGTTCCGAGCAATTTGTAGTAGCCTTCCGTAGGTTACGTTAAGCTACGTTATTTATGCTCAATTCCGGGATTTAGAGCGGCGTAAATTTTAAAAGAACGTGAATAGCAAAGCGAAAACCTTGCTAAACTTTTCGACGGCAACCGTCGCTTTTATAGTTGCTGACACAAAATTTAATCGCATTGTTGCCATCACAATAACGCAAAAAATGGGGACTTCCACTGTGTCCGATTACAAAGGGACTTTTTTGGTGTATTCACTTTGAAAGGGCAGCAGAGGAATCGTTAAAACTGTGAATAATGTTGTTTCCTTTACATTTAAATTTTCAGTAACGCGGTGCTCATTAGTGAAGAGAGCCAGAGGATTTCGGTCGCTCAAGCGAACGCGTTTAAAACGGTCTTCGGGTAAGAACCTATTTAGTTATTTTTGACTGTTATATTTAACTTTTTCCAATATAAATATGTAGTGTATGCTGCGGTGATCATCATGATCTAATTGGGATGAAGTCACAAGCGATAGCTCACACTGTATTGCCCCCCCACTGTATGAATGCACACGAGAAATTTATCTATGCATGACGTCCTTACAACGTCATGCATAGATAAATTTCTCGTGAACAAATACCCAGATCCAAAACAATTGTCTATGGGTCACACAAATAGTTGTCTTGTGTGGGAATCGAATCCAAGACCCCTGATGCCGAATCCTGTACCTTGGCGACTGCGCTACGGAGTCATCAACTCTAACTAATGACCAATATATAAGTGATTATAGCTGATACTGAAGTAAGGAACTTTTCGGACTTCCTTTCCTTCAACATTAGCATCCTTGTTTAGATTCGAGGCCGGAGTTGGTTTATACTTTCATCGAACAAGCAGTCCAGCCCGGAGCCCAGGTGGCCTTAAAGTGCTCGGCCGTTGGCGAGCCACCTCCTAGATTTAGATGGACTTTGGACAGTCAACCTATACCACCTCATCATGGGTATTTATGTCATATTCGTTCATTATTTACAACTGCAAATGAGAACGGAGAAAGGATACGAATGGTGTTTAAGTACAATTATGAGGCAATATTGCTTCTTTAACAGTCATTTCGCTCATCGTAACGTTAATAAGTTGTTTAAAAAGTTCTCAAAACATATTTAAAATCATTTATCAATAGATTTAATAGATTACAATCCCATTTGAATATAATAATATTTAGAACATAAAAAAAGCCTTTTTAACAATAAAGCTTCTTCTACGAGGAGCTAAAATGGTTTTGCCTTAGAATTTTGATGTTTAGTTATTTAATAACTGTGACTTTTTCCAGTGCGATAATTACTGAAGGGCGTGAGAGTGGACCTTCTGGCATTGGGACGAACAACAACTACATCCTGTCAACGTTGTCACTAAGCAGTGCCAGGGTGGAACATGGGGGCCGGTATGAATGCCGCGCCACGAATACTCATGGTTCCGTAGCGCACGCAGCAAGGCTAAACGTCTATGGTACAGATCATTAAAATACTAATACTATTATTATTATCATTTAGTAAGAAATACAATTATATGACATTCAAATTATTGTATTAATTTTTAAGCGAGATAGAATTTTTATTTTGTCTATTTATCATTAGATTAAAAGAAAACATCGGATTTTAAATCATCAAAGTCATCGACGCATCATATTTATTTTGTATGTTCGCTTAACAAACGTATCGACGGTAAATCAGCAAATCTGCCGTAATTTACCGTCTGTTCTCTTTTTTTTGAACTCAGCATTATCTTTAGTTGCTTGAAAGTGCTTAAGGATACATCTAATATTTTTCTCTTAGTAAAAGGATGATCCTACCCGCTGTTTTCTATTAAACGTGAGATAGTGTTTCTTTTAATACAGGGCCTCCGTATATTCGAGCAATGAACCCCGTTAAGGCTGTTGCGGGCTCGGAAATTACTATCTGGTGCCCATATTATGGATTCCCGATAGAGTAAGTATGTAGGATAATGACATTTTTTTATAGGCGAGTTCAATTTATTTTCCTAATACGTTTCTCGTAATAGGAAGCAAGACGTACTGTACAAAATGTATAACAATCATTGACAATAAATCTTAAAAATATTTTGTCAAAATATTTTGATATAACAATAATCAAAATAACAAAAAAATAACTGAGTATAGATATTATCAAGTTTTAGTAACTATAGTTAATATGTATTTCCAAAAGTTTGGTAACTAAAAATTTTAATTTTAACTAAAGAATACCATGAATTGAACATTAAAAGTTCTAACGACAAAAAGTTCATAAATACAAGTAACTGTGTATTCAATATTGCACTCACATGCGTTTGAGTTTAGGTCTACCATCTACCAAAGTCTTAACATTTCAGTTCAGTGAAGTGGGAAGGTGGTGCCGGAGCTGATCCGAGGTACCATCAAGTAGATGGCCAGCTGACTATTACAAATGTCGACCGTAATCGCGACAAAGGCGGCTGGATTTGTTCAGTCTTGACCCCCGGCGGGGAATTGGCTAGACGTGAGGTGAGACATCGACGTCATCGCTTACTTTACTTTAATGGAGTTTTTAGCTTTCATTCCATTAAATCTTCATTGAAGGCAGAACTCCTAGAACTGCTCGAACCCAGAGCTTGATATGGTACTCCACGTTGGGGGGGACATAATAAGTCAAGTCACTTTTTATTTCATAGTTTAGAGCGAAAACATTAATGTGCGACTGTGATAGAACCACGAAGTAGCTTCGGCTATCACACGAATGGGCAGACTCGTCCAGGGAATTACCACGGTCTTACAGAAGAAGAAGAGGGCGTGAAGTGGAAGCATAGCGTAATACTTTTGCGTTTCGTCTTTCGTATCCGGTGCCCACTTTTTGTAATGGTTGTCAGTCATGAGCGGCGGTAATCACTTAACATCAGGTGTGCCGCCCGCTCGATTGACAACTTTTCACATAAATAAGACTGTGTTAAATGATCACGTCAACGGATCACCCGTTAGCATCCGCAACAGCGGCGTGGTAGCTACGTGGCTTACAAATATTTTTAAGCCACGTAGCTAGACGTTCTATCTAGATGGAAGACATATTCTAAATTTGTTATTACGACCCTAATTTATCCACTGATGCGTATGTCTTAATCGAGTTTATTTACATTAAGGTCCAAGTATCAGTCGTGTCGCCGCCAGTCCTCTCGCCGATAGTATTCCCACCCGGACTGCGATCGGGCGACCGGTCACAGCTGACATGCACCGTAACGTCGGGGGACATGCCCGTTTATTTTTCATGGCTGAAAGACCAGATGCCAATATCGAGCGTGCTCCAGGTATCAAAAAAGCAAATCCCTTGCTTTGTGCCAGCAAATTTCAAACAGCGTCATCAAGTTTTTCGCCTTTTTACTGTTGTTTTAGGTCGACGAACGTGGCGCGGAATTTTATAGCATGCTCCTGTTTAAAAGTCTTACTGCGGCACATAGCGGCACATACACATGCGTTGTAACAAACACTGCGGGAAAAGCTAATACATCAGCTGAATTGGCTATCAAAGGTAACATACATTTGTAATAACGTTAGAATCTTGATTTCAGTTTATTTTTTTAATTAAATTATGGTTTTATTACAACAGTTCCTCCATATTGGCAACTCGAGCCGTCGGACACAGCCGTTTTACTTAACGGTTCCCTTACTATAAGTTGCGAGGCTAGAGGCCACCCCCCACCTACAATTTATTGGACTAAATTTGCTGGTAAGACGTATTATATTGCCATGCCCAGTTTAGATTTTTTTCCTTCTTGAACCACATAGTACATATGGGTTTTCCTTTTTAAGGCAGTACAGAAACCTCTTTGGGTGGGGTGTCAGAACCTGTCGTGCTTAATAACGGTTCGTTAAGATTGGAATCAGCTCGAGCTGAGCATTCGGGGCGGTATCGCTGCAGAGCGGATAATGGGGTACCGCCGCCGTTAACGAAAACGCTAACCATACACGTGAACGGTAAGTCTGTTGCTTTGTTGGAAATGTAGGAGTTATGTCAAAGCAACAAAGTTTAATTTTAAATAACAGAGCCGGCGAGATTCGAGACCCCGTCGGTTAACGTTACCGCGAAACTCGGGGAGACTGTAAGGCTTGCGTGTGTCGCGCGTGGCGATAACCCCCTCTCAATGACGTGGAGTAGTTCCGGTCGCGCTCTGCCAAACTCTGATTATCGGTAAGTATAAGTATATATTTAGGTTTTTTCGACTTGTATTTTTTTTTTATTATCTTTAACACTGTACTTTTATAATTGCAAATAAAGTTAAAATGAGATATTATAATTGTATACTTCTGATGCAAAATGTATAGCCAGTGGTAAAACTTTATTGGCCCACATATATATGTATATATGCAATTGTAAAATTTATTTTATGTAAGTGCTGTATGTTTTCCTAACCAATAAAATAAAACATCGAAATATTTTACTATCATTTTATAGTATTACTAGCAGACCAGACCGTTTTCCTGTACACACGTCTTAAATCAGACAAAAACTTATATTTAAATAATAAATAAATATATACATATTATAGACATTAAATCGATATATTTTTCCTGTAGCCCCACTATCGAACCCACACCTGGTGCAAGAGATAGGGTCCACTATGCCAATTGGTCGTCAATATGTAAAGATATGTAATTTAAAAAATGTAGCTACCGTATGTTCGTTCAATGGATATAGCGTGCTTAGGCGACTTATTTGACGATTTTTTTTTTTCATAATTGACTGTACTACAACTACAAACCCAAAAAATGCAAGCTGACAAGCAAACAACCCACCACAAACAAAACACCCCAACAAACAAACAAACAAACACGTTATGTAATACACATTACATAAACATTATTTTAGGATGAGCATATCCGAGACGCGGAGCGCAGAAGGTCTGAGAAGTGAATTAGTTTTGGAACGCGCTGACAGAAGGGACTCTGGGGTATACCGATGTCAAGCGTCAAACCCTTACGGCCGGTCAGATCACTTCGTGCACCTCGGTGTTCAAGGTACTTAAAGTAACAGTCCTATATATGTCGCACTACTGGGGAAAGAGCTCCTCTGTACAGAGGTATTAGGGCATAGTCCTCCCGTGGCCCCACTGCGGATTGGAGGATTTTACATAGCTTCGAAATATTTTTGTAATATGCAGGTCTCACGACGTTTTTCTTTACCTCTAAACATGACTGTGATACGTCAGCACTTAAAATTAACAAATTCATTGGTGCCGACACCGAGATTTAAACTCAGGTTGTTCGAGTATGTTCGAGAATTAAAAGCAGACACCCGGACACTGAGCTATCACGTCATTAAAGTATAATACTTTCGCGTTTCGTCTGGTGAATGAGGTAGTCGGAGCCCAATTTTCAAAAGGTTTTTCAACGCATCTGCAACGTCTTCTCGGGGGTATCTGTAGTATATACAGATGTCCATGGGTGACGGTATTCACTTAACATCAGGTGAACCGCCTGCTCGCTTGGTAACTTTTCACATAAAAAAATTATTAGTTATAAAGGTCGAGTTGCTATAGTCGTGTTACTTGCAATGCAATCCTTACAGAACCACCCGAACCACCCGCTAATTTTCGCGTACTAGAAACGGCTTCTCGTACCGTTCGGCTACAATGGCGTCGCCCGTACGACGGAAACTCGCCGGTGATCGGCTACATAGTACAATATCGGAAGCACGACTCGACGAGCCCCGATTCTTGGAGAGACGCCGATACCCACAATGTCTCTGTATCGGCGCATTCAGATACCTACACAGAGTAAGTTTGGTGACATTCGGACATCGAAAAGTATTATGATGTGGTTAAATCATTAATTCCTTTTTTTTTTTATATAATCCATTATACAGGGTGTTACAGAAAGGTGTTGTAACATTTAAAGGCGTGTATATATATCAGATTTTGAATCAAATGGCATAATTTTAAAATACGAATCTAAGCATTTTTTGACGATAAAAATTTAAAAAATTATTAACTGTAACAACCCTGATAATAGAAGTCACTGGCCGCGCATCGGTGTATCACTCCAAACTCACACACGTATATATATCTGATCGCCCGACTTATTCCCCTCCCCCTCCACTCCTCGTTACGTCATTACCCCACTTCCCGCTCCTCAAGTTTATCGGTCCCCTCCGCCCGCCCCTCGCCAACCAAACTGACAACGACCGCATCGCGCTGCAGGTCCTGGCGATGCTCTAATACAATGAAACACCGTGCTTATCATCAAAATTTATTTGAATTTATCGGATTTTGTCACAACAGAAAGACACGAAATAGCTATACTGATAGTCCATGAGGCCTACTTAATATGTTATTGATTAAAGAATAGGTATTCATTATCGGGAAATAAAACACAGACACACTACTTTTACTACGTTTATTTTTGTAAGCAAATATCCGCGTCATACCTACATAGAAACATTTTTGACATGGAATTAATAATAGATTTCATGAGACAATTTCCACTGTAACTTATAATTTTTTAGTATTGAGATTTTGGATTAAACATTAAATCGCTTGCAATGGAAGGTAAAAACATTTAAGGTTACAACTCACAAATCTTACAACGCCGATAAATTTATTCAACACAACATCAGTGAGATACATTATCATGTTATGGCGGATACATAATACAAAATAATGACAAAAATAAATTTCGAATTAAGTAAGTTCAATGTAATTATAAAGTATTAAACAATAAAATCTTTATTTTAAATAAATAAACTATACCTATACATTCCAATGAGATCAGCGTTTACTAAGAAAACTCGTGCTTATCGGTGTCGGTCGGTTCCATTACGCGATACTATTCTTTCACTGTTATAGCACTTCAGCACTTGGGATAGTCATTGTCACTAACTTAAAACACACCAAGGTCAAGGGTTGCTTCGTCATTTGCGAAGCTTCGACGCGTATAGGGCGCGGACGCAGACGAGGGCCGATCCTTCCTAACATCTCCTTAACACAACTGGCAGCTGATCCAAATTTATTTCAGCATTCTTGCTTGCTGTCTTTTGGCGTTTCTTCTTATCTTCTTAATACTTATGGCGTCAAAGACTGCCTGTCATCGAAAAAACCAATAATGTAGTTTCAAGGTAAATCGACGGCAATTCTCTCCGCAACACCGAATACCATTAAGCAATTTCTTAGCATATGCATTTCTGTCATCAATAACTGAAAGAAAGAAAGAAAGAAAGAAAGAAAGAAAGAAAAGTTTATTTGGTACATAAATAAATCGTTTACAAAAAATTATTTACAATAAAAGAAATACAATGTACATGCACCAAATAGGTTTCCACTCAGCATGAGTTCACGGAGATAGTAAACTTCGTGAATGCTGGTTTTCAGTGGAACCATAGGAGGATGATAGATGGCTTAGAATTGGTTACAAATACATGCTTGAGCTGTATGTAAATATTAGTGAGTTATTTGTGGTCACTACAGTTATGCCTTAATTGTGCTTGTTTATTTTTTTTTTTTTTTTTTTTTTTTTTTTTTTTTTTTTTTTTTTTGACTGATCAATAAATCGAGAATAAAAAAAAATCACGAACGTGTCTTCACACCGTAATGTCTAAAAAGTAATTGATTTAATAGTTTAAATAACACAAACGAAACGACGGCATATTTTATGTATTGATTGAACTACCTAAGCGGCATTCGGCCGCTTATGTCGGTAAGTACATAAGAAACGTTTGTTGGGGACTATTTCGCCGCTCGCATAATAATGTTACCATGTTACCATGTCTACTGAGTAATATTATAGGACGGGAGAAAATAATTGGCTATTTAATTTTCAAATCAGCATAGCTATATCACAAACTTTTTGTAAATCAACATGAAACTGTTGCTGGAAGGTCAGGTATTCTTTTAATGGTATTTTACCATTGACTAACAAAACATTAAGAATCTAGTTGACCTCCTTTAAAATACCACAAAATAATCCTAATCGCTATTTAGAGCTTTTGGCTCATTTACAAGTATTATTTTAAGCTTAAGTTATTTTAACTATTATGTAGACTATTAACTTCATGAGAAAATGTGAAAATTTCAGAGCAAAATTATTTTCATGTGATGGCAGCTTACAATTTTATTTATTTTTCCTATCAAAATTGTAGCACAAAGTACAGACTAAGATCTATAAAAATTCGGGATGACCGAACATCAGAATATCGGGATATTCCACGCGGATCGGCACATCTGGTACCGCTAGTTCTAGCGAGTGCGGTAAATACAAAGGCGGTCTTTGTTTACTGTTTGACGCCGACCATCCACGTGGACTGATGGATTTGAATAGAAGGTCATTCAAAACACGTGTAATTAGTTCGAAGAATCATAACTGTAAACTGATAGTTATGCTTATGGATCCATGAAATAACTTTTTTTACTTTTTTCAGAATACTTTGTACACTGAATAAGTATTAACGCAATGAATTTAATAGGTACCGAAAATTAAGTTTATGATGTTATTATGGACTAAAATTTTAATTGACATTTAATAAGGTATTCGTCTAATATCAAGTTAATGGTATTTGTTTGGTTCCGCATAATAAAGAAAAAGTTCATGATTTCTTTGCAGATTTTTTTAATTTTTGTTAATGCGCGCGATTTATAACTACACGTGCCACCACCAACCCAACAGGCTCGGAGCCCGAGGGTCGGTGTGAAATTGCATCGCGTTAAGAACGCTAATTTATTTAATACTTTCCGCAAAAACTTTTAATGGTTAAATTAAAAATATTGGCGCGAAACTCCATGCTTTCATTTAAAACAAAAAAAAAATTACAAATCATTTAAAAATATAGTCCAAAATCATTATTTTTTTTAAATTTTATTGTAACGTTTTTATAGTGGATGTCTAGATAATGATGGGAAGATTTAATAAAAGATTTATTTGCAGTTAAGATGTATTTATCTCTCCAATTTAAAGTTACAATCCCTGGACTAGCTCGGATACAATATATTTAAAATATAGTAATAATAATGAGTTGGGCGCCTTGTCTGTTAGAAACAGACTGTAGAAATAATCCCAATTAAGTATCTCAGGGAGTCGTGAGTACATAGGACCTACACATTACTTTGTGCGACCATAAAAAGGTTAGATAATTAAATTAATTTAAGATTATGAAAGTTATGCAATTCAATTTATAAAATAAAGTCCAATCAGGTAGTTATTTTAAATCTATGCCACCGCAGAGACACCTGCCCTGTGTGCACAGGTCAGCGTTGAGCTCAGAACCAGCAGAGAAAACCAGGCCAAGTGTAGTGTATACAGCCACACTGTTGGGGGGTATGTAGGAGACCAACTGGAGGTAAAAAACAATATTTAATAGAGCAGCAGCTCAGACCAGCTTGCCAGCCACCTATGCCTTCAGCATCCACCACGAGGGATAACAAATCCAGCACAGAGTTTCCCAGACAGCAATCACAAATAATACGACCAGGAACGTGTTCTGATTCAACCTCTAGCCATGCACAGTCGAAGATAATAGATCCACAAAAACTAATTTATCCAATGTCAATTCGAACCGGCGGCAATCTCAAATGACAAGTACCAACAAATGAACTTAACTTTTTGATTTGACCTTTCGAAAAGGCAAAGGTTCATATGACATGCAGCCTAGTCTTTAGAGAAACAACAATGTCGACAAAGTGATGAAATCACACGTTACATTATATCTAAATGCTTATTTGTATTGGACATAGTAAAGTCAATTTGTATAAATTTCGTATTTTTTATTTGACCAAAATTATTAAATATGAAACAGTGCCATCTTGTAGATTGACTTATAACTATTTATGGTTATCAGTTATTTGATTAACAATGATATTAGTACGTGTTGTGCCTATTTGTATTAGACAAATTAAGAGTGAACATATTTTTATTCAAAAATGTTTATTTCATTTGACCGTACATGTATGTGAACAAATAATAAAATTTTTATTTTTGTTATCCGTGACATCAAAATAATTATTTAAATTTAACAAATTAAAAAACAGCGCCATCTGGATAACCAACTTGATAAAAATTTAAATTATAAAATGATCTGTCGTCAAAATTTAATAATGTATTGGGATTTTCTTTCTATAAAGTATTTTGATTTTTTAAATGCTCGATTCATTAATCTTCGAAATATCATACGAAATGAAATTCGAAATACAGTAATCACTACTTAGTATAAAACAAGGTCGTCCCGCTGTTCGTCTGTCCCTATGTATGCTTAGAGCTTTAAAATTACACAACGGATCTCAATGCGATTTTTTTTTAAACATAGAGGATTCAAGAGGAAGGTTTATAATTATGAATAATACATTGCAACCGTGCGAAACTGGGACGGGTCGTAAAGTATAATAGTAAAGTATAATATAGAATAATAGATTAATGAAAAGATAATGAATTCGTTCAATCACTACCTAGTATAAAACAAAGTCGTCGCGCTGTCTGTCTGTCGCTATGTATGCTTAGATCTTTAAAACTACGCAATGGATCTCGATGCGTTTTTTTTACTAGCTAGAATGATTCAAGAGGAAGGTTTATAATTATGTATAATACATTGCACCCGTGCGAAGTCGGGGCGTGTTGCTAGTAAAAGTATAATAATATGAATAGATTAATGAAAAGATAATGATTTCGTTCAATAAGTATAAAATAGTCTATGGTGTTGATAAAACTGCATACTTATACATTTTTAAACAAATTAATACTAAAATAAAATACAACGTAAAGTAACGGTTACATGTTACAACCACGACATTCGATTAAGACGACTGGGTTTTAAATACAAATAACAGCTGTTATTTTTATGAAAGTAAAGTAAAAAAGTAGGTGGTAAATCAAGTAGGTGAACTAAATGTTAGTTCTTATTAAAATTGAATATTTAGAAAATTTATTTATTAGTTTCAGTATAAAATTTCATGTATTAATTCTCAATTAGTGTATACAAATCCTTCAGAAATAAAAGTAAAAAAAGAGAATTTCATAGTTCCAAAACTTATTAGTTGTGATACTGCGAACTAATTACACGTGTTTTGAATGACCTTGTCACTTTCATCAATATAGGTAGATTGTCGGCGCGTATAACAGTTAACAAAGACCACCTTTGTATTTACCGCGCTCGTTTCAACTAGAGTTACCAGATGTACAGATTCTCGCGAAATATCCCAATATTCAGAGGTCCGTTCATCCAGAATTTTCATAGACTCCTTAGTCTTTACTTTGAGTTAGAAACTAAGAAAAATTGATACATTGTAAGCTAGCATTACTTTAGCATTAATATTTTTCTTTGAAATTTTCATATTGCCTCATGAAGTTGTAAATAGTCAAATTAAGGTTTTTTATTTTCCGGTGAAGTAGTGAAATGGAAAGTTTTAAAATAAAACAAATACTTTAAAATGAGTCTAAAAGTTTCTAAATTAGGTAAAGCGAATTAATAATCACAACGGTTATGTTTGAATTTTGTGATATTTTAAAGAAGGTCAATTAGTTTCTTAAAGTGTTATTTGATTAGTTTTTTTAGTAGCCAATGGTAGAATACTATTAACAGAAAACCGAAAAAAAGTTGTTTATTACTTTATTGCCAATTATACCGCCGTCCTAAAATTTTACTCAGTAGACATGGTAACCTTATTGTCGGCGCGGCGAAATAGTCTTGCACAAACGTTGCTTATTTAACTACATAAGCCGCTACCGCTTAGGTAGGTAAATACATAAAATATGATGTCGCTTCCTTTGTGTTACTTAATTTTCAAATCAGTTACTCTCCAGCCATTTACGCATGAAGTCGATTTCATGATTTTTATTTTATAGTTATCGATTCATTATTGATAAAAGATGTCTCAGACATAGTCATATGCTCAGTAAATACTACATGATATTATTCAGTGTTGCGGCTAGAACGACCATCGATTTACTTTGAACTTTTCAACTACACCAGCTTTTGACGCAATTGTCGCTTCTAAGTACGAATTATTTCTGCAAAGATGTTCTGGAAGTATGCGCGTACTACGGGAGGCTCACCAACTGCACCAGAAACATTTGCCAAAAGCCGAAACAAGTAAACAGCAAGCAAGAATGCTGAAACAAATTTAGATCAGCTGCCAGTTGTGTTAAAAAGGAGCTGGAAGGATCGCCCCTCGTCTGCGTCCGCGGCCCATACGCGTTGTAGCTTCGCAAATGACGAAGCAACCCTTGACCTTGGTGTGTTTTAAGTTAGTGACAATGACTATCCCAAGTGCTGAAGTGCTATAACAGTGAAAGAATAGTATCGCGTAATGGAAACGACCGACACCGATAAGCACGAGTTTTCTTAGTTAACGCTGATATCATTGGAATGTATAGGTATAGTTTATTTATTTAAAATAAAGATTTTATTGTTTAATACTTTATAATTACATTGAACTTACTTAATTCGAAATTTATTTTTGTCATTATTATGTATTATGTATCCGCCATAACATGATAATGTATCTCACTGATGTTGTGTTGAATAAATTTATCGGCGTTGTAAGATTTGTGAGTTGTAACCTTCTAAAATGTTTTTACCTACCACTGCAAGCGATTTAATGTTTAATTCAAAATCTCAATACTAAAAAATTATAAGTTACAGTGGAAATTGTCTCATGAAATCTATTATTAATTCCATGTAAAAAATGTTTTTATGTAGGTATGACGCGGATATTTGCTTACAAAAATAAACGTAGTAAAAGTAGTGTGTCTGTGTTTTATTTCCCGATAATGAATACCTATTCTTTAATCAATAACAGATTAAGTAGGCCTCATGGACTATCAGTATAGCTATTTCGTGTCTTTCTGTTGTGACAAAATCCGATAAATTCAAATAAATTTTGATGATAAGCACGGTGTTTCATTGCATTAGAGCATCGCCAGGACCTGCAGCGCGATGCGGTCGTTGTCAGTTTGGTTGGCGAGGGGCGGGCGGAGGGGACCGATAAACTTGAGGAGCGGGAAGTGGGGTAATGACGTAACGAGGAGTGGAGGGAGAGGGGAATAAGTCGGGCGATCAGATGTATGCGTGTGTGAGTTTGGAGTGATAACACCGATGCGCGGTCAGTGACTTCTATAATCAGGGTTGTTACAGTTAATAATTTTTTAAATTTTTATCGTCAAAAAATGCTTAGATTCGTATTTTAAAATCATGCCATTTGATTCAAAGTCTGATATATATACACGCCTTTAAATGTTACAACACCTTTCTGTAACACCCTTATATATTTAGATGTATGTTTAATGTGCATGTCGTAACCAAATGAAATTCCCCATAATAATAACTTATTTGTTTTACTAAATTAAATATAAAACGTCACTAGAACGGCTACTAAACTGCAAATTAATTATGGCAATAAAAACAACGATAATTCGTTTGCTGCATACAAAAAAATTATACAACATAATAAAAAACAGCAATTCTCTTTGGTGTAAATCAAACAAAACATGTAATGAAAGCGTACGATGAACAAGAAAAATTTTAACGTACTACAATTTACACGTTGTATCTCCAGGGTAGAAGGGGCTACGATATCTGGTCTAGAGCCGGCCACAGCTTATTTAGTAAGAGCAAGAACTGTCACAGCACAGTTCGCTTCGACTCACACGAGGGCACTCCTGGCGTTAACTCTACACGAGCCTCCCTCCCGAGCACCAATCAGCCTTCGCGCTTCGGCACCAAGACCTACAACTGTTGAATTAGCGTGGCAGGTATACATTATATCATCCGGCATATTATGTTTCTAGAAAACAATTTAGCCTTTATTTAATAACGCTACGGGACTGAACCATGAACGTTCACAGGCTGCATAATAAGTAAAGTGCTCGAAACATATTATCATAGTTAAAAATACCCACTCTGCCATCAGTATAAATAAAGAAAGAAATGAAATACAAATAAAAAAAGACAATATAAATCATTAAGAAGAAATAAAGGAAGAAACACACTTATTCTCACTATAATTACATCACAAACTTAAAAGTAATGAAATACACAGGACATAAAATAATATTGCGAAAATTATTAATAAATGAAAACATAAAAATAAAATAAGTGAAAGTCTGTGTAGCAGCATAAGACCGTGAAAAGTAATATTATTAATTATTCTAGGCCCCTCCTGCATCCACTTGGAACGGTGAATTACTCGGATATACCGTTTGGTGGTGGCCATCTGCTGATGGCACTTTGGCTGGTGGCGCCAATGTTGGGATGGAGTTCGCGACGGTTCGGGGTCAAATCAATAAGTACACTATCGAAGGCCTAGAGCACTACACGCGGTTAGTAAGCAGCTACCACTCTAATTGAGAAGGGTTTTCATTTCCAGATGCAGTTATATAACTTTCCTTGATAAATTCTGTCGAATTTTTAATTCATTCGGCATGCTATTAAAATAGAATTAAGTACTAAGTTAAATGAAGAGGTTAGCGGAGTGCTTTCATCGTTTCAATTATATCACGTGGCATTAAACATTTTGGTAAAATTTTAAAGGGTACTTTATGAACTGTATGAACTATAAATAGCTATCCCTTAAATAAAGGTGTAGTTGTTTTAACTTGTTTAGAACCTCGAGTGTCGGTTATTTAATTAGTTTTAAAATTTTGTACTGCATTTAGTTAAGTTAATTATAAGTATGCTAAGGAAGAGCGGTGCTGCCTAACACAAGCAAAACTGTTGCTTAAAAGGTACCTCCAAATATTTATTAACTGTAAAGAAATATGTTAATGAAATAAACATTTTTGTATTTTGTATTTAAATTTATATTACTATTCACTTCTCTAGGATGGGCTGCGTCCGATGAAGCTTTAATAGTCTCGGGACTGAAAGCAAAAACATCAGTTAATACAAAGGATGGGCATAATAAAGGAGGTTAAAAATTTCTATCGTATACTTTTTTTATGGATAAAGGAGGAACGAGCAAGCGGGTCACCTGATGGTAAGCGAACACCGCCTCCCATGAACACTTGCAACATCGGTTGAGTCACTTGAGTTGTCGGCCTCTAAGGTAGAAGTAGGCTCTCTTCTTGAAGGTGCCTCAGTCGTATCGGTTAGGAAATACCTGGCGACAACTTGTTCCACAAAGTAGGTACTCGTAACGCAAACTAGTATTAATGTCTCGGTTTGTTTTCAGATATTCAATAAGTGTAAGAGCATTCAACAGCGCCGGGGCTGGTCCAGCTACAGCATCAGTTAATACGCTAACGCAAGAAAGTGGTAAGTACGCCACGTAAGAAGTTAAATTTTAACGTAACAAAAGAGAAATCACTAAAACATTGTTCGATATGCCAGAACTCATTGTTTGTGAAAACAAATTAATATATCATCTTCATCATCATCAGCAGCAAGACGTCCATTGTTAAACATAGGCCTCCCCTTATACAAAAACCCTAACCAACGTCACTTTGCCATTTGCATCCACTGGTTGCCCGCGACTCTTACGATGTCGTCGGTCCACCTTCTTCACTCGGTTCGTAGTCGCCACTCTAGAACTTGTATCCCTCATCAATCATCAGTTCTTCGAGCCAACATGTGAACATTGCCACTTCAACTTACATTAATATATATATATATATATATATATATATATTTAGGAATTATATTATAGAATATATATTTATATAGGAATTATAGTTAAATGACAAAAAGTTGTTATTTATTAATACCGTAGACTTTGCAATCAATTTCACCATGTCGTTTTTTGGCTGTCAGTGCGCGCGCGCAACGAAAATATTTTACTCTACAATTTTTTTCCAAACGCGCCAATTTGTAAAATAGTGTTAAAGTTCTATTAATTTTTTTTTTTCTAATCTTCTATGATAATTAATATATATTCAATGCAAATTCAGCTTTTTAGAACTATTCGTTTATCTTTAACTTGAAATGTTTTGATTTCCTTTTAGCACATATGGCAATGTTTCTTGTAATTAAATTGTATTGTTTATCAAGTTCCAACAGAAGGCCCTCGGGCAGTGAGATGTCGTACTGTGTCGCCTCAAAGCCTAAAAGTGGAGTGGTCACCACCACCAGCGCATGCCCACCATGGAGCCTTACTCGGATACAAGCTACTGTACCGCCCTGAACATAGTGAGTGATTATAGATTGTAGGAAAAATGTAACAGGAGTACTCTATTGCGAAGCATATTGTTTCGCATTGTAATATACATTCAAGCTTCAATCTCGATAATCGCTATATGACTTCCATAACTTCCATAATTCTTCATCAAAATGATTCAAACACTATTTAAATCTTATACTTGTCGCTATTGACGATTATCATTAAAAACCTATCGTTTAAAAACTCTAGTAAAGAATTTATGATAATGACAATTCGTTAAAATGAAGGATTGTAAAGTACACAGAATATGATTGCATTATTTGAAATAAGATACCAATATTATCAATGATAAATACTTATCGCGGTATTGTACGAATTTGGCACGGTCATCTATTGCTTTATAGTCATAAAATTTCTTCATAAATAGTTAACGTGCGATAAAGTTGTCTATAACATACATGTCAAATACATAGTGATTACCGCGCTTCGTGATACTTATAAGATGAACTTCCTAATAAAGTTCCACGAAGTTCAATCTAAGCTGAGTGATGGCAGTTGTTTGTCGGCAGCGACAGATTGGCTGGAGTGGGAAGTACGTGGTGGCGGAGGTCTGAGCGTGGTCGCTGGTGCGGAGGTGAAGCGGGTGGCGGGCGTGGAAACGCTTTTGTTGGCACTAAGGCCGCACATGAACTACACGATACAGGCTCTAGCGTATACAGCGGCGGGTGACGGCGTTCCCGCTCACCCCATACATTGTACCACACACCAAGACGGTATGCCTTAAACTTCGAGATGTGCGACGTGTGAACAACACATTTGCGTAATTACTTTGTGTGCTCCTTTTTAGTGCCTGGACCACCAGCCGCAGTGAAAGTGGTTGCAACGTCGGTATCTTCTCTAGCAGTCAGCTGGCTGCCTCCAAGTCGACCCAACGGACCGATTTTATATTACACAGTGTTTTATCGCGAACTCGGAAGGTATTTATTTCATTGAAGAATTTAAAATAGAGTTACTTTGCTCTGTCATTGTTCGTTAGAATACTCTGCTTTCAACCTTAGTGCGCCACGATACTCCTTTGTGGGATATGCAGGTTCCCCTAAGTCTTACATTGGATCTGACACCAGATGTGATCTCAGATTGCTCAATTGTAGTGATTTATCAACGAGCGCGCAGACACTGACACTGAACTATATGTATAGCCGAAGGTTCACCTGATAATAAATGAATACCACCGCCGGTAGTCACCTACAAACCATTGACGCTGCTGATGTTTTGCCAACCCTTTAAAGTTTGAATACCGACTACCTGACTTACCAAGAGAAACGCAAATTATAGTACTTCACTTCATGCCAAGCTTCTGCCAGGTGGTGGTACTTTCGCGGACCAACCGTCCGTATTCGTGCAACAGCAAAAACTGCTAAATGGACCTACCACAGTAAATTCATACAATCTATATAATTATCATTAAACTACTATAGTATTACAAACTGTAATTTCTTTTTAAACTCGAACTTAGGGACAGGCCACCACAAACTACTACCGTACAAGCAGAAGACGGAGAATCTTCCGTTGGCTTAGGCGGATCGACCGAACTAAGGTCACTATCTGAGGGTGCCACGTACGAAGCTTGGGTCGCTGCCCACTCCGTGGCTGGCGAGGGCGAGCCCTCCGCCCCGCAACCAGCCACGACTACATCGAGAGGTAATTGGTTCTATTTTTAATCAATTTATTAAAACAACCCCATTTCTGTCGTGGAAGCGAAAGGATCCAAATAAAATTATTTGTATAACTATGCGTTCTGATATTCATGTATAAAAATAAGTAAAATTGAGGTGTCTGCATAGCAGTGTCTGTATGTAATGTCTAGATACCAGGCGTTTTCTTAATGCATAATTATGAATGATAACGCTCACGTTCCATTTTATACCAAAGAAAAAATTAAAAAAATCCGGCCATGTGCACAATTATATTATAGTACCTGGAGGACCGTTTTTTTTTTTGTAAATCATGTATTTTGGAAATAAAAAAAATAAAGAAAATGATCTGGTATAAAAAAAAATAAGTGTGTAAATGATCGTGATACGAACCGCGGCGGTCTGTTTTGGGGCCGCCCAATTACCGACCGAGCTATTATAACATTTTTTTGCGGCGAAATTTACTGTCATATTCGAATGATATTTTTCAATCCCTGAAAACAGGGATAAAAGAAAATTTTCTAAAAATGAAACCTAGCTAGATCGATTTTTCGCCCCCGAATCTACGCACATACTAAATATCATTAAAATTGCTGGAGCCGTTTCCGAGATTCCGATTATATATACAGCGTGTCGTTACCATCCAGTCCATCATACAATAAATGAATACACGTCTAACGCTACTTGCCAATAATCATAAAAAAATATTAACGTTAAAAAAATAATTATAATATATATATATATATATATATATATATATATAAAAGTAACAACCTATACATGTCCCACTGCTGGGCAAAGGCTTCCTCTGTACAGAGGGTATCAGGGCATAGTCCACCACGCGGCCCCACTGCGGATTGGCGGACTTCACATATCTTCGAAATATATATATTTTTTTGTTATTATTTCGAAAATATGCAGGTTTCCTCACGTTGTTTTCCTTCACCGCGGAGCACGTGATAATTCAGCACTTAAAGTTAGTGGATCGAACTCAGGTTGCTCGAGTATATCGAATTAAAGGCGAGCGCCCGGACACTGACTTTGTTCAGTAAATTAGATATTTTTTATTCTTTAAATTTAATTTTTCTGTTTTTTAGTATTTGTTGTTATAGCGGCAACAGAAATACATCATCTGTGAAAATTTCAACCGTCTAACTATCACGGAAATACAGCATGGTGACAGACGGACAGAGACAGGCAGACAGATAGACAGACAAATAGCGGAGTCTTAGTAATAGGGTCCCAGTTTACCCTTTGTGTACGGAACCCTAAAAACATGTGTCTCGTTGTTCCGGCTATTTCAAGCAATTTAAATCTTTATATAACCAATAATTTATTCGTTATATAATGAAGTGTATGCGTGCTGTGATGTAAAATTGCACGCCGACGAAGTCGCGGGTAGTTTAAAATAAGGATTCAACACCATCTTTCCTTAAACCCTTCTTTTACGCTTGAAAAAATCGTGCTATATGAGCTTTCAAGTCACATCTATAATCCGACTTAAAAATATTAGTATCGACATACCCCCTGCAATGAAATCAGTTGCTGTGGTTCTCAAATGGGTCGTTTTGGTTTTAGCGACAGTCAGGCTGTTGTCATTCGGTGTATGGGCACGAGTTAAATGCGGCCATTCGTTGAAGTTGGCATGCGCTTGGCGTGGCGAGCCTGCACCGAGGGCCCGTTGGCTGCGCGGTGACAGACCAGTGACACATGACCCCAGGACGCATTTGACGCCACATGGACACTTGTCGATACACGGTATCATTCTTTATTGAATCAATAGACAAGTAAAAGTACAAAATATGCAATTTAAAAGCCCTCAAATTCCTTAAAATCCAATCGAAACAGTAGTTTTTTCTCTTTATGATACCAACAGGTAGGCTTTGAGGCGACACAGCACGTCATCTCACTGCCCGAGTTCCTCTGTTGGAACTTGATAGAGAATACACCAAATTAACATATCAAAACAATACGAACCTGGTACATCAAATATGCAAACTTCAACATCTTTCCACACCTTTAAGTGAATTTGTCAATAAAATTTGTTGCAAAAGCTAGCCGTTTTGCTTTATGGTTAAAAGCGTCAGGCCGCGATTCCTGTAGACACGGCAGCGAAAAACTTTTCATCCATTTTTCTACAAATTTTAATGTTTCATCTTAAGGGTAGAGATCAGTACTTCAAAAACTTTATATTTTAATTCATCATCATCATCATCATCATTATTTCAGCCTGATATAGTCCACTGCTGAACAATACGAAGCACGATCTTGAACCATCTGCATCCATCGACTTCTTGTTCATCTGCACAGGTCCTCTTCCCTTCTAGTGGGAGCTCGTCCTGATGAAATAAACAATAAATTGTCGATGTTTGAAAAACTCCAACAAAATCGAAATTATGCAGAAGTCGACGCTTCCACGAGTGGAAACTATACGTGCGCTGCCCGTAACGCCTTCGGATCAGAGGAAGTCACTTACCGTGTACAGTGCGCCTCGCCACCGTCCGCGCCAACCCTTACATTAGACCACGCCGAACACAAGGAAGCGAAACTTACGTGGCGGACTACACACCACCCCGCTGCTCCCCCACACGGTATGTTTACAGATTTAAACTTTGCCACATATAATGAACACATATGTTATTCTTCTTAGCCATCAAGTTAAATCAGAATTTCCGTGAAATTTTTGACGCTCAGTTTTAATAATATATGAATCCCAAATGGAACAATAAGTTCTTAGTTTAGACTAATAGGTCTAGTTAGCGCTGAGCGAAAAACAAGGCAGTGGCAAGTTTAAAGATTCTTTCTGATTTTTCCCGTCATCAGCACCAATGTATCATAGTCTAAAACAATTAATATAAGAACATGTTAGTTTTAGCAAGTTAAATAGTTCACTTTTATACTAAGGGGTCTATAACTATATGTTTCTAAATATAGCAATATTAAATTACGTATGGGTAAAATACTATCAGTGTTCTTGATAAAGGATATACAATTTGGTGGACACGCGTAAGGGACGATTCCGGCGATGGACTAGACTCTATTAACCCGCGTGGCGAAGAAGAACGCAGATTGGAAGCCGGCGGAGAAGCATCTAGTGTCATTCTACGAGCGCTATCCTGTGGGGCGACGTACTCCATTAGAGCGGTGGCCCACTCGAGAGCTGGCCCCTCACCGTCATCCGCTCCGTTACTAGTACGGACGAAGCCTCCAGGTAAATTCTGATCCATGAATGAGAATAATTCTGAAAAGGGCTTCTGTGGTAGGGTCGCCCTTCGACTGTTGCACGAATGGCTAGGTCCGTCCGATAAGTACCACGACCTCACAAAAGACTAGCGTGAAGTGGAAATATCATAATTCTGCGTTTCGTCTGGTGAGTGAGGGAGCCGGGGCCCACTTTATCAAAAGATGGCAACGCATCTGCAACCCTACGGATGTCCAAATGTCCATGGGCGGGGAATATCACTTAAAATCTAGTGAACTGCCAACTCACTTGCCACCTTCTCGAATATAAAAAGCATGTGTAAGACAAGTGATTGACTTCAATTTTTTAGTGTTAGTTTGGGAAGGAGGGGGAGAGTTAGAAGACCAGGGCGCTGAAGCGGCGGTTTGGAGCAACAGCAGCTCGCTAGCGGTAGACGCGAGGAGAGCAGTTCGTTGTGGCGCGAGGCTCGTCCGTCTGCAGTGGCGAAGAGCTGACGCCGGCAGCACGGTGCCTTGGAGGGACGCCGATCTCACTTCGTTGCATCATCATCGTGAAGTGAGTCTAACAACTTCTATCGTTGGCTACTAAACGTCATCGACAACTGTTAATTACTCGGCGGCGTTGCTAAGCTTGGCTTCTGCACCATGGTATAAGTATTTGCGTGATCTATAGATAATTGTTGGATATGGGCGTTTATTCCTACGGAGGGATAACGTGAGGCTGGTTGTATAATAGCTAGCGAAAATCATTAACAAAATAACTCATATGTTGCACAGCACCTCTCACGAGCCTCATATTGATTGACATACATGATCACCGCTTGGGGGGACTATAATTACGCGCATAGGCCAACCTCTTGCACCCTAGTCTCCGGCCGCGAATATCTAGGGTTGGAATTGCCTCCGTTTCCATCCCACCTGCGATAAGTGCAGGGGAAAGAAAGTGAGAACTACAACTGCAAATGTTAGACTTACCACTAGCCAGACAGAGCAACGGTATATGCAAAGTGTCGGGAACTGGCTTAGAGCTGAAGATTGGACGAAGTGGCGTTGAGGGAGAGCTACATTCTACAGTTGACTATATCAATCTGGATAACTGATAGGCATCTGATAATGCATTCATTCATTAATGAATGAATTCATACAGAAAGCTTAGTATAACTTACAACCATGTAAGTAATGAAAGATTAAAACTTTATAAAAAAGTTGTCACCATCATCATCATCCTCCAGCCCGTGTCCTATCTAAATGGATAACTGGAAAAATGGACACGTGGATCGTGTTATAAGTGGTTTTAGCTAGGTTTTTACGAGCGGCCGCCTGCCTCCCGGTAACAATCCCCTCTGTGAACAAACACCCTATGGGTCAAACAAATACTCATCCCGTGTGGGAATCGAACTCCCACCGGTGCCGAAGCCAACTACAAAGATTAGCAACTGCGCCACCAAGTGAACCGACTTCAAAAGGAGGAGGTTCTCAATTCGACTGTTACCTGTTTGTTATCTGTTTGTTACCTCAGAACTTTTGTCTGAATGAACCGATTTTAATGATTCTTCTTTATTTAAAAGCTGATGCCTCCCATGTGGTCCCATAATAATTTCATTGGTATTGGATCTTGGGCTCCGAAGATTCTCAAGTAACGCCTGAAATCAATTATAAAATGAATACAGAGCGAGATATTTGAAGTCGTTTTGTTTTTCGTTAGTAAAAAAAATGGTTATTTTCATTCTAATGTAACTAGAATTCTAACTTCTAATATGTATTTTGAAGTATCTGTGAATAAATTTTCTTTCTTATTATTTAAGTCGGAGGTGTAATTTGATATTATCAGGTGGTGATCAACGGTTTGGCAACGGGCGCGTGGTACGCTCTTCGTCTTTGGACGGCTACTGAATCAGCTCGACACCAAGCGATTATCTATGCAGCGACTACCACGCATTCAGGCGGTAAAGTTACTTGTCATGACTTTAGAACCTTATAATAATTGTTATTGGGTAGGATTTACATGAAATTAAGTAAAAAGAAAGTTGCAACAAAAATTAAAGTAATAAGAAAAACATACCTCTGCTTCTTAACCTGTCTTTTTAAAGAATGTAGGGTTTGAGCACGTTTAATAGCCAAAGGTAAAGAGTTCCAGAGTTTAACAGGAGCAGCAGAGAAGGATTTATGGTAAAAACTAGTGGATCGCAAAGGATGTTTCAGGAAGAGATTTTCATTTGAACGTAGAGGAAGGTTATGAGAGGAGCAAAGAAATTGAAAACGTTCCTTCAAATAATCCGGACTTGATACATTAAATAGGACGCAGTGAAGAGCAGAAAGAATATGAGTATTCCGGCGAAAACGAATCGGGAGCCACTTGAGCTATAGCTAAAATATATTGTTGTTCATAAAACTTTTCATTAGTCATTCATTTCGTGTTGCTTTTCATAACAAATAGAGAGACTTCGGCGGCCAGTAGCCTTCCAGTCTGAAGGCGGGGCTCCCCCTGCCGTCGGTGCAGCGGATTCGGAACGGGTATTAGGAGCCGTCTCGCTGGCGTTTGCCGCCCTCGCAGCCCTAGCAGTTGCCGCTTTACTTCTCGTTCTGCTGGCAAAGAGGAGGTAAGAGATGGTGCAAGAAGTATGAAAAACTTCACACAGACATACAGACTATAGAAAATGCATAATCAATATCAGATAACCCATAACTCCTTACGTATGTCGCCAAAACCAAGATTTTTGAATAATAAAGAATAGTGAAATAAATAGCTTGAAATATAACTTTAAAACCATCTGTTCCTTGTGATTCGAAATAATGATGACACGATACAACCAGTAATTTATTAGATAGAGTGTTGTAATGGATAAGATCAAATTGTGAACAACATTTTCGTTTTTTTTCCATTCAAGGTCGATTCTATATGGAATTCATTTTCCTTAGCTTCAATGGTGCACGCGTTTGATATCAGCACGTGAAATCACAATTACAATTTTCGTGGTGCTGGAACTCGCTTTCAAATTTTACTTGTTGGAGTTAAACTTAGTTGTAACCGAGTACGGAAGATTTTTTCAATAACTTACTTAATTTTTTATGATATAGTGTTTAAAGTCTTAGTGTTTGTTACAACAGTACGCTGTGGCCATGCGGTGGACCCGTGGACGAAGAGGCGCGGCGATGCAGCCACTCCGCTGCAAGCACTGACAAATCCGTTTGCCCTGAACAGCAGAACATTCGTAACTGCCAACATGACTACAAGCACGACAAACTGTCGCCAGCATCAGGTAGATATTTTCCAGTGAACATGAACATGTAATACTAATGTAAAACCGTATGGAAATTTGTATTGATCTTGCATTTACTTCAGTTAATATCTAAAAATATTGTAGCAACAGCCAGCATGCAGCTTTTTGGCTCTATGCCGCGAAGAATTAAGATTGTAATAATCCAGATAGATTTCAAGTATTTTGAATTTATTAAACAATGCAAGAAAAGATGAATACACATTACAATATTCAATAGAGAAGAGTATAAGTCTCATATTACTTCTAATATATAAAATTCTCGTGTCACGGTGTTCGTAATTGAACTCTTCCGAAACGACTCGACCGACTTTCGTGAAATTTTGTGTGCATGTCGGCCAGAGTGAAGAATCGGACAACATCTATTTTTCATCCGCGTAAATGTTAAGGGTGGTCCACCCCAAATATTTTTTTCTACCCTACAAATTCCTTACAAATAATTTGTACGGCAAGACAACGTTTGCCGGGTCTGCTAGTAATTTCATAAAAGTTTTCTTACGTTTTATCTCGATTGGAAATTTCTTTGAAGAACTTGTCTTGTCTTGTATTAACTGATGTTTGTGCTTTCAGTCCAGAGACTATTAAAGCTTCATCTGACGCAGAACCGGTGGGCTAGCCAGAACCCACGGGTTTGGGCCCTCCGCTGTGGGTAGGGCCGCGCATGTGCTCATGCGTGCGTTTAACTACGGCATGTCATCTAAGGGCCATCGAAGTAGCGGTGCGGACCGAGACCCCGATGGCCGTCGACTGTGTTTTTAGCTAATCGGTGGCTGGGGGCGGTGAGAACCGCCCTGGAACGCGGGTGTACCTTGTGTACGCGTTGTGTTGGTCTCGCCGTGCTCGGAGGCGAGGGCGAACTAATGTGTTTGTTGCTACACTAACTGTGTGTGTAGTGTTATCCGGCGGGACCCCCGACGGTGGGTCCGACGTACCTAAGTCCCCTTCCTCGACCAGGTCGATGAGGACGTTTCGCGGGCGACGCTTGTTGACGCTCGCGTTTAGATCGGGTTGGTAATTTGCTGCGCTTACCACCAGAGGGTTGGGATGATGTTCGGCTCTATCGAAGAACCGTTTGGTCAGGTCTTTGAAAAATTCGCGAATCATCGGGAGTCTGCAATCACTGTGCAGGTCGACGTTGCGTTGATACCACTGCGCACCGGTTGCGCGGCGGATGAACTTATTTTGCACTACTTGCAACTTGTGCAAGCGAGTAGGGTGCGTGTGGGCGAAAATCATGCATGCGTAGGACATGATTGGCCGTACGCAAGCTTTGTATAAAAGTAATTTGTGTCTTAAGGACATTTTACTTGACTGGTTAGTTAAAGTGCTTAGCCGGCCGGAGACGAACGCGGCTCTGTTACGGACGTTATTAATATGCGCTGTGAATGACATACGCGAGTCGAAAGTGACTCCTAAATATTTTACCTTTTTCTCCCAGGGGAGTGGTTGGCCATAAAGAGATATTTGCCCTAGCTTTCTGCATTGGCGACGACCTTTATAAAGATGTGACGGGTAAGTACTTCGTGTGAAGTGAATCGCCACACTCTTTTCGGGATTTACTTCAATTCTCCATTTGCGGAACCAATCGCCGAGGCGGTTGGCGGCACTTTGGAGTCGAGTGGTTAGTTGACTAAGGTTGCGGTCTGTTGTGCCAGACTTTGTCGAATGCCTTTGCGACATCGAAGAAAAGAGCCCCCGTGCTAATATGTTTAGGGTGATTTAGGCCTTTTAGGATATGTTCCGTTAGGCGGTATAATTGATCGGGACAGGAATGTCTTGCTCGAAAGCCGAATTGTTCCGCCGGTAGAAGGCCGTTGGAAAACACGTGGTCTTTGAGCCTGTTTAATAGAAGCCGCTCGTAAAGCTTCCCCAGGCAACTAAGGAGGCTGATGGGACGATAACTAGAGGGCTGATTGGCTGGTTTATTCGGCTTGCGAATGCCGATAACCGTGGCTTCTTTCCAGTCGTCCGGAAAGGAACAACTGGAGAGTAAAGTGTTGTAAATGGTCGCCAGTAAACAGATAAGTGGGCCAGGGAGAGCTTTAAGGATTTTATTACTAATATTGTCTGGGCCCGGGGCGGATTTGGGTTTTAAATTTTTGATAATATCTTGGACCTCTTCGGGGGTCACTGAGTTTAATGGATCGCCTTCCGGTGGAAGCGCAGCCCTAGTTTCGATAACGCGGTCCACCTCCGTTAAGTGGGCTGTGTCGATGTGTTCGCGCGATGGCGTACATTGCTGCTCTAGGTTGTCCGCAAGGCATTCGGCTTTTTCGGAGTCATCTAGGGCTAATGAAGTGCTATTAGGCATTGCTAACGGCGGTAGGGATTCGCGGGGCTCTGCTTTCAGACTGCGGGCCAACCGCCAGTAGGCGGTGTGCGATGGCTCGATGTCCTCTAGGAGATTGTCCCACGTTGTATGTCGGTGTTCCGATACACGATCTTTGACTTCTAGCTGAAGGCGTCGAAGTAGGGTTCGGTTCGATTCCGATCGGTATCGGTCGAAGGCGCGTTTGGCTGCATTTTTCTGTCTAATTAGCAGTCTTAGGTCGGGCGGAAAGTTAAACCGTCGGTCGCCCGACAGTTTCACCGTCCGTTCCGAGTCTGTGACTGCGGAAGTAATGGTTTCTCGGAGACTTGCTATCGCTCGATTTGCGTCATCGAACGTAGCTATCGTCTCGGGTAAGTCTACTAAGTCTTGGGGGTCCAAGGCCTTGAGTTTGACCTCAAGGCGATGCCAGTCCACTACGGTTTTGGTCGGAGGGACCGCGCCGGCGTTCTGGCCCAGTTTGCACAGGACCGGCCTGTGGTCTGATTCTAATTCTTGGATTGTCTCTATCGACGCGATGTCGAGGGAGACCTCCTTGAACAACATGATATCAAGAATACTCGGTGTCGAATGCTGGTAATCGTCCACCGTAGGATATCTTGTGGGAGTCACAGGAGCGATTATGCTATAATTTAAATCGTCAGATAAGTTAAAGAGCTGCCTACCGTTGTTGTTAGCGTAGGTTTGGGGGTCCCATGAGCCGTGTTTGCAGTTTAGATCTCCTGCAATTATCACGGAAGGGCCTAAGTTAAGTAGCGTTTCTAAATCGCTTTGTAGAAGAGTTTTATTCCCCGAGAGATAGGCTGAAACTAGTACAAGCGGCCTGTGGCCGGTGAGCGCTAACCTACACGCGGATGCCTCTATATGTCTTAGCTCTGGGATATCGAGCGGGCTACAGTGCAAGGACCGTTTATAATATATTAAGGTACCTCCCAGACGGTTTGCTAACCGGTCGTGGCGGACTATATTATAATTTGCGATTTTTGGATCGCGTCTGCTAGGTTTCAAGAAGGTCTCTTGCACTAGAAATATATCGACGTTATAATCGCGAAGGAATTCTGCGATTTCGTCCCTTTGGCCCCTTATGCCGTTTGCGTTAAAATACGAAACAACCAGAGCCCGAGGTTTTAATCTACCTGCGGTTGTACTTTCCATTTTAGTTTTAGTAGCGGTTCTAGGTAACGACGCGGCGAAGCGCGGTTTTATTGCCCGGATAAACCTTTATGGTTGATTTGTAAACACCCAAAGGGCGTCTACAAGTTTTTTGTGCTCGTTGAGCGCATTAAGTCGATCGGTGCCACATGTGGCGGCCAATAACTTTGTAGATAGGACGGCGAGCTCTTCCCGGTTTATGTGTTCCAGGAAGCTGCAGATGTTTGCCATTTGGGCAAAAGGGTCGTCTTGGTTCGCGGAAACGACCGGTGTAATAAAATGCACCTGCGGCCTCGGTGCTTGTTGTTTGACAGGCTGCGGTTGGAATGTCGTCGGTCGTGAGGCGACCGGAGGCGCGGCTACCTGCGTGACTGCCTGAGGTTTCGCCCAGGCGTTTACGACGGGTGCGGGCGCGGGAATGTACTTCGCCGGCGCGGATTTCGGGGCCGCGATTTTCGCGAGCGTCATTTTTGCGAGTGCTTTCCTCGCGGGGCTTTTTGGAGCTTTAGCGCAGCCCCTGTAGCTAGCCGGGTGGCCGGTAGTCAAACAATTTACGCAGTCCGGTGGATCTGCGCAATCTTTAGGACGCGTGCAATCTGTCGTGCCGTGGTCACCGATGCATTTGACGCACCTAGGGTGAGCAAAACAGTTGCGGGCTGTGTGGCCATAGTGTTGGCAGTTATGACACTGCGCAACAACGCCTGACTTCCGTGGAGGCTCAACGACGAGTTCGCTAAGCCCACAGAGCCTCTTCAAATTAAAAATTGCCTTACCTTCCGGGGTAGGGTCCAACTCCACCATTACAATGTCCATCGGGACACGGGTTCTGGGGTGACGTAGGCGACGAACGGCGTGCACCGGGTATCCCTGAGTGCGGATGTCGATTTTTACATTGTCGACATCCGACTCTTTCGGGATTCCCTTTATGACTACCCGAAGTTTGCGTTCTTCAGGCAGCGAGTAGGTATGGAAACCTACTTTGTTTTCGCGTAAATATTTAGTGACGCGGCGGAAGTCATCGATGCTATCGAGGTATACACGGATACCTTGATGGGTGTTCTTCGACCGGGGGTCTCGAATATTGTGGCGTTCGAACCACACGCAAATTTGATGCCATTTAGCTTTCTCCTGGATGATGATAGGCGGAGGAGGCTTGGCTTTTCTTTCGGCGGCGTATTCGGGTGCCGGTTGGACTGCCGCGGCCACCTTTTTGGCGGGCGTCGCAGTGGATCTATTAATTGAGGTGGCGGCCTCGCTTTCGGGGTCGCTATCTACAGCGGGGCGTTTCTTGCCCTTCTTTTTTTTTCGTCCAGTGACGACGGTGAAGCCGTCGTCATTGGGTTTACCGGCGGGAGTTAAATCTACCTCCATATCCGATCAGCCGTCCGAGTATGAGTCGAGTACGACGGTGCACAAGGAGGCCGAGGTAGCTTGCGAGGAAGGCGCGACGGGCGTGTTCGCAGCGGCGGATGTCGACGCGACGGGCGCTTCTTGCGTCGCGGAAGGCAACGGGGTTACGGACGCAGAGGGCGCTGGAGATGGCGGCGATGCGATTGCCGGTGAAGGCGGGCTGTCGTTGGCGTATTCAACGACTAATCGTTGTTCGGATTCGAACGCTAGGTAGCTTTCCCAAATGTCGGGACAGCGTTGTCGGACGAACTTCTCGAAAAGGGAGCCCATAGTAACGTATGTGCCTTTGGGGCTTAGGCCCCGCCGGCGTGTGTAAACTTAATAAGCCTCCCCACCTTGCGGCAGGGAGGAGTGTGCCTAAAAATAACACTTAATTCGCCTGCGCTTTAGGTGCGCTAGGGTGAGTACCTAGCTGTCGCCCAATGCAACAAGCACACAGTTAAAAATTAGGCAATGCCGCCTCTGAGGCGAGAAATGTGTGTAGAATTCTACTTACGGACAGGAACCTGCCTACGAGCACAACACTACACTAACACTAAACTATTGCACTACTTGCACAAATATTTAAATTGCAACCAAAGTTGCGAGTAGCGTCTAATTCGGGTGGCATGTGCCCTCCGTCTTAGAGAGACGTCCTTTCCGTACGAGAGCACGAAGCGGAATCGAAGAACTTTGTTTAGGTATCAGGGGTAAATCTCCAAAATACAATATGACTCTTGGAGGGAGACAGGGTTAAGTGGTTTTCTTACTATAGTAACAGTTCTTCCCCAACGAACTTTCGCTGACAAAGACTAAGGACTTCTCCCCATCGTAATAATTGTTTTCGAACCACGTCTCCCATTAAATCGCTGTATGAGACAGGCAGTGGATACGTTTGCCTTATTCGTATTGCCTTATTAGACCAAGACTGTAGGTCAACAGTAACAAATGTAGCAAATTTTTTCCATGCAGATGTATACGAAATAAGTCCATACGCCACTTTCGCCGTGGGCGGCGAAGCTACAGCCGCAACTTTGGACCACACGCTCCAGTTCCGAACTTTTGGCCACCGTGACAACGACGCCCCTCCGCACCGGCCTTGCAGAAAGCATCCGCAGCGACATCGGGACCGAGAAGGTTATTTTATTTCTCTGATCTTGTAACTTCGATAAATTTATACTAATTGTGCCGATTTTGGGTTTCGTAAAATGTTGTACATATTCAATGGCAGCCTATCGACATCCACTGCTAAACGTAAGCCATCCCCAAATTGCGCAAACCCGCACGCCTCCGTGCGCTCCCCGCCACCTTTCTCCATTGTGCCCTTTCTCCATGTGTGGTAAGTCGTCAGTCCATTGTGCCCCAGGCCGTCCCACACTACGTTTTCCTAATTTATTATTTCAAAATTTATACACACTGCTTGTATAATACTTTTATACATATTATGCTATTGCGTTTCGCTCGGTAAGGTAGCCGGCAGTCTACTCTTTCAGTGTTGCCCACAACTAAGCATCATACTCACTGCTGTCGCTTAACTTTAAGTTAACTGATTGCTCAATTCTCATCTCTTTAATAAAAAAAGCCTTATTTGCAGTTGAAAAACATCACTCCGACTGCGAGTTGCAACAGTTAAGTCGGTACGAGAAGGTAAGGCCAAGACATTGTGCGGGTTCCTCATATTGCGTCCCCCTCACGCATCACGGTGAGTAGATCGCACGCATAGATGATAACCTCAATCACAATTATTTTATTCACGAAACCCCTTCAATCAGTATGACTTTTTAACATTATGTGGAAATAATCTACTTGGAGTGACTGTTTAACAACTAGCTAAAATGTTTTTGACTTTTAAAGAAAGAACGTAAAGCATATTTTTTAGTATTATTTTATTTATATAATTCTATGTATTTATTTATTTAATCGGAGAGTTTATGTTTCACAGTTTATGTTTGATAAAAAGAACAATTGTTATAATTTTGTGATATTTGAATTTCTGTATAAAAATAAAGAGATAAGAAATAAGAAGAATAACTATTTTTTGGCAGCATATTTAATTCATGGTTTATTCATCTAATGCGCCAGGAAGAAATAAATGAATTATTTATGCTAATTACGCTATAATATACTATCGTAGCATCAAGGTCGATACAAGAAATAACAGAAAACGTATAAGTGATTTAAAATTATTATTTATTATAGCAATAGTTTAAGCGATCAGTAATTTAATTTACTAGAAAAACCGCTATACATAAAGCATATATTTTTATGGTTCTTGTTTCTCCATCCTGAATTAATATTAGATAATTAAATCATCCATTAATTATTACCTTCTTCTAAAGTTGAAGTATCTACTTAACTCGACAATTAAAACAAATCTTTCGAAGAATTAGAAGCTGTTAAAGGTTGAAATACGTTTAACGGCCTGGACGTTAAACAAAATTAAACGTTTCAGACAATTAATGACACTTCTTAAAATTAATGGTCATCTTAAATAAAATACGGCTCTCTAGTAAATTAAAACTGTATAATAACAATATGTTACTGTCCGATTTACAATTTAATGATGATGATATATGCTTTATTGATCACCATAAAAATATAAAAGAAATGTTAAAAAAATAACTTATGAGGTAGTACAATAAGGCGGTCTTATCGCTAAAAAGCGATCTCTTCAAGACAAGCTTGTGGCTATAAGTATAATATTTTGGCCAACGGTAGGTGGTGCAAATGGTAGACTTACATACTAAGATCAATATAAACTAAACGAATATATTATATTTTGTATAATCATAGTATACTCATATATACCAAATAATAATACACAATAGACATACATAAAACTAAACATACAATAATATTTAATGTTTCACTGAATGACACCGTTATGGGAAAACCTGGAAAAAACAATTTTTATTTAGCAAAATCTTATATAACAGCATAATATATCAAACTTCAAAAGAAGAGTTATTTTACTAATAAAAAACACATACTTTTGCAAATATATTCTAAAATAATTTAAAATAAAAATATTATAGTCAAAGATCTGTATCTTTGTGATAGCCAATATTACGTAAAAGTGCAAGATATTTTTTTAGACCAGTTCATTTTTATGTTATTTGTCTAAGGTGTTTTTGTCAGTAGCGCATAAAATCTGTAATTCTTCATCAAAACTCATTCAAACTCCTTTTCAAAGCTTGTGTTTGTTACTGTTGACGATAAATAAAATTATTATTTAAAAATTATTATTAGTAATAAAATTATTAAAAATAATAAGTAATGTTTATAAGGTAAGCTCTAAGTTAGCTTTCATAACTCGATTTTTTATACTTACATTTTTTTATAAAGAATGTATGGTAAATCTATTCTATTGACAATTTACTTGACTGAATGATCAAATTTAGATACATTTGATTGATAAATCTAACCTATTACATGGTTCATGGTACTGTGTGAAACATTTGCACAGGTCAACTACTTTTTTATATCCTTTTTGTTTTTAAGGGTTAAGCTAAAACAATACGTCAAATATTTTTTAATATATTGAGGAAAAAACAATAATAATTTTTGACAATATTAATTCTCTAAATTACTGTAATCTGAGATATTTTTTCTATTTCGTATAATTTTTTAGTTACTTAAATAAGAGAAATGTATAATGTTAGGTCCACGGAACACTTTTCCAACAGCAAAAACTGTTGATCCTGCCCATATTGGTTCAATCGACATTTCAATCAACAGTTTCTGGGGGAACTTCACACGTACCTAATTCACACGTACAAAATTCAACCTTCATGTCTGAGAAATAATCCAAAAAGATACGTTTCGGACATGGATTTCCGGAGGGAGGTATTATAAACCGCAATAGAAAAAAATGAATAAAAGAAGCAAAAAAAAAATAACGTGAGATATACTTGAAAAAGCTTAAGATTTACTTTCAAACTTTCGTTTTCAACTCCGATGTAGTTGCCGTCATACAAAAATCCACAGAGTATTTCCTTTTACTTTGTAATACCAACTTAATATTGCCATGGCAGGCGGTGGTGGCGGTAGCGCTGGCGGTGGTGGCAGCGGCGGCGGCTTCTCCGAGGTGTACGCGGGCGATTCCAGCGTGGAGTCCGGCCCTGGATCATTGTCACCTCGCACGCACCACGAGCACAGCTAGCGCCGCGGCAAGCGTTCGAAGAGGACGTAAACTACACGCATCATCAGTAGTCTCAAAAATATCAGACTCAATAATATAGGTTAATTGTTACCCAAACCAATACGTTGAAATTCGTAGACAACTCCTTCTTCCTCCTTCTCTCCTCTTTATACCAAACCAAACTTTTAAACTGCATACTCATGGGCCCCTCAATAGCCAATGAACTTCTACTTGACACACTTGTCAATATTACCCATACAATGTTGGACTTAGTTTCGTCACTTTAGCAATACTTTAAATGCATAGCTTTTTGAAATGTTTTGTTTATATATTTTTTTTACATTTTTATTACACTTTAATTCAATGTTTTTGTCTCCATCGCGGCATATTTCACAACAATAAAAATTACTATTAATTTAATAAAAATGTTTGTGAATCCCACAACTTTTTCCCGTGTGGGTGGGTACATTTTTTATTTTTTTTATTTCCCCAAAACGGGGCAAGTATAGCCATTGCAAGGTGACTTTAGCCTTGAGTTCTATTTTCAGTTAATTTCTACTTACACTTTATACAATTTATAACAATTGTGTAAAAAGTACTGTGTGTGTAAAGATTATCTTGAAGGAATTATTACAATGTCAAGAACACAAAACAAACTACTAATTAATATAGAAAAGTTCATAGACTGTTTGCAATGCAATTTACAGATTTTACATAAAAAAAATTGTACCGAAACAATGAATCAATAATTGCTCAATATTTTTACAATTTTGTTTAACGTAATTGATAAAGACAAAGTTGTGGCTTCTTTTTTAGGAAGCTGATGAAGACTCGTATCTTTTTTGCTTATACTTAAGATCTGCCTAATGCTCCAATTTTTATTATTATATCAAACATTCTGACCCTCAAATGTGTAACGTGTGACGTCAGGAAATCTGTCACTTTGTAAACGCTTCTTTTCAGCTATTAAGGCGGAGACTGCTCTAATGTTCCTTCAATAAAATTCATGATGTCGTTAAATAATACAGTCACGTATATATAATCACGACGAACGGTTTACAACGATTATTTATACACGTGCATTTACCAATATTAAATATAGTGTTAAGAGAACTTTACCGAAGTTTCAACGAAAAACGTAGAAAAATTGTTTGATTGTCCTTAAACATATAAGTTAAAGACATATCAATTGCTTTTTCGTGCGTTTCGTAAAATGTAATGCTAACGTATTCAAAAGTTATCGTCAGTAAAAAATAATTAGTTTAATGATTTCTTTTATTTTAGGGGAAAACTACGCATTGTTAAATAAAACTAAATTATTTGAGTATTGTTTTTAAGTCCCGATATGATGCGAACGCAACATAAAATAAAAAATACAGATATGGTAGAGATGCAAACGCTGATATAGCGTGATAATAGAACTATTTTATAATTATTCATTTGTTTTTAAATTCTAAGCCGAGTCAGATAATTGGCAAATCAAACGCGAAAACCGCGCAACTGTTTTATTTAAACCTATTATATATATAAAATACTATTTTTATCTGTAAAAACAATAGCATTTTATTAATTTTCTTAAAAACAAGTATTGTCACATTTAACTTAATTTATTTGATATGTATAAACTACTACGTAAATAGTTAAGAGATTACTGTATTCGACTGCCATTTTTCAAAAAGTCATAGATTAGTTGTTTTGTACTCCGTACTTAATACCCGTAAATATATCACATTGTCTATATTTATCTCTAACGCTAGGCGCTTTGCCTGGTCATTCGCACTTTGTCGTATAATATTGTCAATAGTATAGTTGTGGAATTAGCACACATTTACTTTCCGATTTAAGCGAGTGTAACTTTAACCGTGTTTTAGCAAGTCTTATTAGATATGGAGGAGGTTAGGAAAGTATTAATGTACATATTTCTGTCAGACTGACGTCTTCTTATATAAGAGCTTAAAATGTAAATACGTCTGTAGGTACCATCAAAGGTCTAGTCAATTTTATTGAATGTTTCATGACAATATAATTATAATTTGTAAATAATATATAACTCTATGTGACAATTTGTTTGTTATAATATATTATTTAACGGATATTATTGTTTCATTTTCTAACAGTATTTACCTTGTAGTCCCCTCCAAATTTCAGAAGGGTAAATTGTCTATCGACTAATGTTAATTGACTTGTAACGTTATTAATAAATTTAATTAGTGTATTTTAAACTTCATTTACTATGTTTATATGATAAGTCCCTTGGGCAAATATTCTAATATTTGGCTTGGCAATGCCAACGGTCACTCGAAGCACATAATAATATCTAGCTGATACACGAAACTTCCTCAGCGTTGCTTATTAGATTAAAAATGTATTTTATTTAGCACAGCAAGAAAACACACGTTACTAAACACGTAGTAGTGCTTATAAAAAGAGTTGTTTCTTAAAACTTTAATGACATTACATTAAATGATGATATGACAATATTTTTAGACAGTTGCCAAGTATCTAAAAAATAAAACTAGAATTAATTTAAATCTGTCCAGTAGTTTTTTCGTAATGCGCGCACAACGGCATACGTCTGTCTCACGGAAGAGTATCAATCACCAGTTACATCCTTATAATTTACTGAAATAACAGAGTATGCAAATATTATATGTTCGCTAGAAGTTTGTCACTAAAAGCAATACATTCAAATTAAACATAGTCCTATGTGTCTTAGTCCTAAAGTATGCCCTAATACCCTCTATATGAGGAGGCCTCTGCCCAGCAGTCGCACATTTATATTTTATTATTTGCTTTTTACTTTAAATACAATCCATTACATAATCGAAAAAAAGTATTTTTAAAACATTCTCAACCTTGTTACTTCCTCATTCAAAAGGGACTTCTGAATGTAATTATCAGATTGCCATGTGAACACTATAACAGTATACATATAACAATATTATAATATACAAAGATTTGACACTATCGCACCGAAATTGAGCCACTCAAAGTACACCAATTGGTGTTATTAGACTGCAACTCTACAGACTGCTATCTCTTTCCATATCATACGTTCTATATCATCTGTCATATTCACTTTTATATAGTTATACTCACTTATATGTCTTATAACGTAACGCGGAACAATGTTTAAACGCCGCGCAGTATGGACATGCGTCACCTATATTATGTTATAAAATATCATTGCCTAGAAACACTTACCATTACATAAAAAAACTCTAAGCTTTATTTCCAACATAATACATTTCAATTAAATGGCAGTATTACTAAGCAGTGCGCAGTTTACGAAAATATCATTTATAGTTTTATTTTTAACAAAAATAAATAAGTTCATTAATCACCTCAGTGGAACGATTTTTGGAAATTGAAATAACCTGTTGCTACGACTGTTTATTTTATTCAGAATTATTATTTTAATCGAGAATTTTCGTGGCCAGTGTTATTCCTGGAAGTTAGCTGTAAAGATAATCGTGTTTTCCAAGTAAGTGATGCTTTGGTAGCTTACCTTTTCTATTTTATACGTTAATTTTATTTGGACGTGAACTTTCCGTATGACCACCTTTATTGTCATACTCCAAAAGTGGCCTGAGTTAACAAACTTTTTTACTATTGATTTCTTATAAGTTTTTTTTAATTTCACATAAATTTCATATAGCCAAACACGTGCTTTACGGTCTTAATTAAATTATTACTACTTTTAAGCTATGTAACGCCCGGTTTCTGAAACACTGATCATCGTAGATGTCAACTAATCAGCTGTCAAGTGGCTTTTCAAATGATGTTTAAGTTGTCAAAAGAATGCTTAAACTCTTTAAATGTATCTGAATGATCAGAATGATCAATTTAAAGAGTTTAACAATCCTTTTAATCAGTCAATCTCTTAATAAGTCAATTTTTCTTCGTAATAAGTAAATTTTAGTCAGTCAATCAAAAAGCCATTTAATCAGTTTTTCAGAAACCGGGCGTAAGAGTACATAATTGATATAGTTTTGTTTGCCTCTGCGAATGACAGTGCCTTATTCCCTAAAGTAATTATTTATATTAACTAATTTTGTGTATGTCACTTGTGGGGTCATGTAATGTAGTTAATATTTAAAACACTTATTTTTTTATTTTTTATTTCAAAAGTCAAATATTAAGGATAATGTTTTTAATGCTAATTTTCCCACTAGATTAGATTTTTAAATGACAGTTTAATAGGTAAATTGATGAAATTGTCTAGTCAACTGAGCTAAGCGGCCGATGTCCTCACAATACGAAAATCTACGTTTCATTTCATCTTTTCATTCAAAGCAAGCTTTTGCAAGCAAGCCGAAAGCTTTTTCGATAGTATGTCCATTAAAATCATACTTAAAGCCAAAAATATATAGTAAATATTCAAAAATAAATATTAGTAAATTATGCCTAAGTCGACAACAATCAAGAAAATTTAAAAAGTCACCTGTCAACCCAAGGGACAAGCAGAGCATATCACTTTACACGATCCATTCCAATTTCGACTTGTCCACATTCAATTGACTTAATCGCTTGCTTGTAAACGAAATGGAACGTTTGGAAAATAAATAGTATTTACCTACATCAAAATCAATTATGTATTGTGAACGTTACGCAAATAAGAATTTTTACAGACGTTATAATACGGTCCGCCGTACACAAGGTACACCAGCGTTCCAGGGCGGTTCTCACCGCCCCCAGCCACCGATTAGCTAAAAACACAGTCGACGGCCATCGGGGTCCCGGTCAGCACCGCTACTTCGATGGCCCTTAGATGACATGCCGTAGTTAAACGCACGCATGAGCACATGCGCGGCCCTACCCAGCGGAGGGCCCAAACTCGTGGGTTCTGGCTAGCCCACCGGTTCTGCGTCAGATGAAGCTTTAATAGTCTCTGGACTGAAAGCACAAACATCAGTTAATACAAGAGACTACAAGAGAGACGGTCCGCCGCTGAATAATCACCTAGCAGCGTGTATGAACACTAATTTAAAAACCCGCCCAAGTGCGAGTCGGACTCA